GTGTGTGTGTGTGTGTGTGTGTGTGTGTGTGTGTGTGTGTGTGTGTGCGTGCGCTGCCGATACGGAATTTCTGAAAGTAGGAATGTCAACTGGAAACAAGTACCTCCCGTAACTTTACCGTTTAGTGACAAACCATAAATTTAGAGGAAACGTTGGAGTTCTTTGCATCAGCGTTTCCACAGTGCTGATTAAGAAGACACGAACATAAATCCTCCTCCAGAGCAAACTTTCCAGTGAGAACTCGCTCGTCTGTTTGCAGCAGTCTTGTTAATATTCAGATGTCTTTTTTTTTTTGCTGCAGTGCATTCCATGTAAAAAAGGCCAGCGGGAGTTCCCCTGTTCCATCCTTTTGTTCCCCCTCCTCGCATGAGTCCCGCCATAAGCTGCTCGAGGAGTTTGTGACCGTCGCTGCCAAGCTGAGAACGTCTGGGGCCACTTGTGGCGACTTATTCGGCCGCCTGTATTCCCAGACACTCGCTAAAGTTGGCACTTGGCTGACAGGTCGTGACGGACAAGAGGACGATGTGTGGAAGGAAGCCCGGGTGGTAAAACAATAAAACAGGACGGCAGCAGACACAGTCGGCTAAATCACCTCCTCGGACTTTTCTATCATGATAATGAGCCCGTGGCTCATTATCACTTTAGCCATACCATGAGCAGGATGTCGTGCTGATGTGGTGCAGATTACTCTTCAACATGAAGTTGGACTGACACCTGCTAGACGTTTCGGGTATGAAGCTGCCAACAAGGTGGCAGTGATGTCAACCGAGGGTCCAAGCACTGAAGCTGATGCTGCTTTTAATGTACGGTTCATGTCCCGTGGCTCGTCTGTCATCACACTTTAATGTGCCGCAGAGATCCCTCTTCTCAATGAGTCCTCTGCCTAGGCAAGCGTACCGTAAGTGTTCCAGGTGTCAAACGAAATCACCAGCGAAGCGGGAGGGAGATGTGTGATCGTCTCACCTATTAAGGTCAAACTCTTAGGATCAATTTACATGACAAATGTGGGTTATTGGCATTGGGTGCTGCGCTGCGGGTTGTAATTTGCCCCCAAAGGGATGAACCTCGTAGTATTTTATATGCAGTCATTGAACGGCTAATGTGTCGTGAGATTGTGGTGGAAGTGGAACGATGTAGAAGAAGAGATAAGATAAGAAGTGAGGCGCAGAGGACAGTGCTGACCTGACAGCTGAAGGAGGTGACCTTCATCTTATCCTCTTTGGTCGTTAATGTGACGGAGGATGTGCTTTACATTTAAAGACGTACTGTTAGTGTGGCCTCGTTGTATTCAGCAGGGTTGTGTGATCGTATTAAATGCCGGGTAAACATTGTGAATGTACCAGGAGAGAGTATGTTGCCAGTGTGTGGTCTGTTTGTGAGTGCACTGCAGATAAAACCAAGCACAGTGCTATCAGCCTCACTGTAAATAGGTAAGTGAAGCGATCAGGCAAACAAGTACTTTATTTCTGTCTTCCAGAGTGCAGCAATGGAGGAGACTGTCATCTGGGAACAGCACACAGTAACACTACACAGGGTAGGTATCTGTTCTCCTCCCTCTGATGCTCTTTACATGTGTCTTGTGTTGAGACTCGTCCTGGTCCAGATATCTCTCTCCCCTTCCTGCTTCTGCTATCTTTGCTTCCATCCCCCATCCCTGCATTTTCACTTCCCTCCTATTTCCAGGATTACATCATGTGGGAAGTGTGCTTACTGTGTACACAGTTGCAGGTGGAACAAACAAAACATCACAGTCGTCACGGTGCTTTTCTTCTGCATAATTCCCTCCCACATGTTTGGCTTGGGAGCCTGAATAACACACTAGAAGTTATGCATGCTTTTGCATTCAAACTACACTGACGATTCTAACTCGCTATAAGTTTATGTGCTTGCTGGCAGTGAAAAACACTGATGATGTGTATGTTTTGTAATAATGTAGATTTGGTTCACTGTCTAATAAAACGGTTGAAGTACATATGTACATACATGCGTATGCTTTTCTTAGTCAGCTCTGTCTATCTGTATCCAGAACTTTACATTATGTCCAGTATTCTGATCTACACAGAAAGCTATGCTAACATCCTAATCTATGTTTCTCTGTCTGCAGGCACCAGGGTTTGGCTTCGGGATAGCCATATCAGGAGGTCGGGATAACCCTCATTTTCAGAGTGGCGAGACCTCCATTGTCATCTCGGATGTGCTGAAAGGAGGCCCAGCAGAAGGCCTACTGCAGTAAGATTTCGTTCTATTATTGGCAGCCCGGTCAAATTGCAAGTTATTAGTATTAAATGACCCTTCCGGCTACAGAGAGACTCCAGCATGTCTCATATCTCTGTGTCCACTCTCTAGGGAAAATGACCGAGTCGTTATGGTCAATGCTGTCTCCATGGACAATGTGGAGCACGCATACGCCGTCCAGCAGCTTCGTAAAAGTGGGAAAATTGCCAAAATTGTGAGTCAACAGCCCATTGTGAATTCCTTTCCTAAACTTTGGGGAAAACTTACGTCAGTCATGACAAAATGTTGATACATTTTTATCAAATTGTATGTCATCTAGACATTTCTTTCACAACGGACTAGTAGGAGAAATGTACATAAATGATTCGTCTTACTGTAACTGATCTCATATCGTATTTCCTTTCCTCAGACAATCAGGCGGAAGAGAAAGGTGCACGTCCCCATGGGCCGCCTCGGGGAGAGGGAAACTATGTCGGAGCACGACGAGGAGGAGGACGACAGTTACGATGAAGAGATATACGAGACGCGGAGCGGACGCAGCGGCGCTTACAGCGGTGTGGGCGGGGCCATGGGCAGGCGCAGTGGGCGGAGCAGCGGGCGACGGGACAGGGAGCGTGAACGCAGCGGCTCGCGGGAGAGGAGTCTCTCCCCTCGCTCAGACCGCCGCTCGCACAACCTGCCCCCGCGACCCGCAAAAGTCACACTTGTCAAATCTCGCAAAAATGAAGGTGAGGCTCACAAAGTCGGGGATGAAAAGACGGAAGGGCTCTAAGAAGGTTCTCTGAGGTAATCCAGGAAATCACCTGCCATTTTATTTTTCCAACTATTAGCCACTGACAGCCAGACTTTAAGGAGAGAATAAGACCTCCAAATCAGCATTGGTCAACTGCCAGAGCAAACAAAACTTGCCAGCCGCAGCAAAATCCAAGTTTACTCAAGTAAAGAGCAATTAATCTTCTTTAATCAGTACTGTTAATCCCAGTGGGAGCAGCGGCTTGACAGCAAAGTGTGGTCAGTGCGGCGTGGCCACGTGAGCTCTGTGCTAACATGGTCTTTGTTGCTGTCGTTCACTTTGTAAGCAGAATATGGCCTGCGCCTGGCCAGCCACATCTTTGTCAAGGACATTTCCCCCGAGAGCCTGGCAGCCAGAGACGGCAACATCCAGGAAGGAGATGTTGTTCTGAAGGTGAGGCATACGACTTCAAGAAGCCTGGTGAACATTTAATATGTATACATCATGAAATATTAAAACGTCAACGAGACAATTGAAAATGACATTATATTATTATTTATTTTTCCTCTTTTTGTGCTGATGGAGAGAAGAATTAATATCGTGCTGAAATGTACGAGTCCTCACTGCTGTACTAATCTATTTTTTTCTATCCATCTAAAGTTGCATAACAGCACTTGCAGCTTTATCGCCTTGATGTTACTCAATTCGTTGACATTTTGAAAGAGATGAAAGTATAAAATAGCTCTTTGTGCATGACGGGTGCTTTTTGAACTGTAGCTGTTCTGAATCAATCGCTTCTCACATTTTACTCTGTTTGAATGTTAGCACATAAGGAAGGAAAGGTTAAGCAAATGATCAAAGGAAATAATTGTCAAAGGGATGTGCTAGTTGATACTGCACAGCCCAATCTTAAGCTTACAAATTGATTTGACCCTAACAAACATCAGTTTTGCACTTAATTTGCACGTGATATTGTGCCTTTAGGACTATGCATTTATAGCCTAAACTTAGCTTTTCATATGACTATTTTCTTGCAATAAAATGTGAAACAAAGACTTCATTATTTAATTTTTCTTTTTTTAAATTTAACTACTGTTCTTTGTCATGTCATGGCTAATAGCTTCTCTCTCTGCTTTTCTATAGATCAACGGCACAGTGACAGAAAACCTCTCCTTGATAGACGCCAAGAAGCTGATAGAAAGGTCAAAGGGCAAGCTAAAAATGGTCGTGCAGAGGGACGACAGGGCGACCCTGCTGAACATCCCTGACCTCGATGACAGCCTTGCTTCAGCCAACGCCTCCGACAGAGACGGTGAGAGCGGTGTTAAGCGTTGGATTCGGCTGAACTGGGGCGCAGCTGAAAAGCCAGACTTGTCCGTGTGCGTTTCAGACCGCCGTGGCTGAACAGTGGCTTTTGTTTGATCAGACATTTCAGATATCCATTCTCTGGCATCCGACCATTCCAATCGATCGCATGACAGACATCGTAGCAGCCGCTCCCGCTCTCCAGACAGAAGATCTGAACCCTCAGACCACTCCAGAAACTCACCCCCACAAATCAGCAATGGCAGGTAAAGAGCATCCCTCCACGCCTTAACATTTTAAAGTTTAAATTAAACAGTGTATAACTAGTGTATAACTAGTTATACACTGGTGTATAACTAGTAGCCTGACATTTTCATATAGGTTCAATTTTGCTACTTTATTTCTGCTGCTTTCTCTCTCCGGTTGATATAAAACTTTAGTTTAATCCAGGACCAACAGTAATTAAGATTTCAATTTAATGAATAGAAAATGAACGTCTCAGTACAGGACACAATATTCGACTCCTGACTGAAATAGCACAGCAGTGACTTCTTGCCACTAAATGTTACAAATATCAACAAAACTAGATTATTACAGTTCACAGCCACTATAATGGTTCCTTTTTAATGTGATTGAAGGGGAATTGTTTTTCATATTAATAATGTAGATCTGAAACAATTCATCAACAGAAATATAATTACAATCTATTTTGATTATCGACTAATAGTTTGAGTATTTTTTCCGCTTGTTATTGTCTTAATTGGATCGTAAATTGATTATTTAGAGGCTTTTTTGTTGTTTTTAGGTTTGGTAATACAAGTAATTTGATGACATCACCAGAGGATTTTAGAACAAGTGTGATGGGCACTGTTAATTCAATTAATTAAGAAAATAATAAGCTTATTAATCAATACTCAAAACAATAATTAGTTTCAGCCCTTTATTAATATTTAAAACGTTCTGATGTAACTGATCTTGTTGTAATGAACTTCTATCTGTCAATGTTTATTGAAACAGACGTGTTTCGGGTTTTTGTTTTTTTTGGCTATAAAGGACTTTCGATTTTATGTTTGAGTTAATACCAGCCACCAACCCATTCAGCACTTCTGTGACTGTAACCTTGTTTGAAAGTACCTCATTAGTTCTTCATTTCAACTCAATAGAGCACCGGAGTTGTTCCCCTTTCACGCTGCTTATTGACCCGAGGAAAATAAAAGTCAACTCTTAAGCTGCAAAAGAGACAATCTTAGTCAATTAGGGTCAAAACTCTGCTCTACTTTGTGTATAAGTTCAGTGCTCAACCTATATCACTGTGTCTGGAATGTAACGTCCTCTGCCATTTGGAACAGAGCATTTTTGATACATCAGTTTCAAAAACGCTAATTTATTTACTATGGGAACTTAAAAAGTCTTTAAGAGACACAGAAAATCGTCACTAGCAAATAGCAACGATGCTTATACGTACAGTCTCACCAACACTCACTTAACAGGATTTCTCTGCCCTTTATTCCCTTAATACGACTCAACAGCTGGAGAATACCGTAAGTGTGTCACCTGTATGCAGTACGAGTAGTTACCAATAGTAGTGCTAGTAAATCCTGAATAGATCTACTTTAATGTAGATTAATAGATGACCCTAAACTCTCACAAAGCGCTGATTCTCCTGCAACAAATTCATTCTTTCTCCATTGCAAAGATGACTAACAGCAAATTATTACTCGGAGGAAGATTGCTGTCGTGATGTTATATAACATCAATTATTCAGTGAGGCGTCTTATTTTGACTCGAGATGATTGAGTCACATGATCCTCCTGTCTCTTCAATGTTTTTGTGGGCAAACCGCAAGTTTGGCAGGAGGACAATATGGCTCCAACAATGGAGGAACAAAATGCTGTCGCCCACCATCAGTGTCAACTGTCTCCCCTTTAGCTGCTGAGCTTCACTGAGATCTTTCTTTATACCGGTGGATGTCTGATATGATTTGTTTATTTTGGTTTAATAGATTGTGTTTTGTGTGCAATATTCTCAATGTGTTGCATTAGTTTATTGATGACCCATCTGGGCTACTGGAGCACAAGTCATTTACGTATTTCACTTAGCAGGAAGGAGATGCTGGGACAGGATGTTACTGTTTATCTGAACCTGGATCTGTAACCTGTGACCCTTTCTCTCAGTTCAGAAAATTGGCAGTTTAAAAGGAGGGCCTCCTCCTGGATGGATTAAAACAGAGCTTTGTTCCTCTCCAGCCAGTTCAAACAGGGTCCTGCATGCTACTCGGTCACTCAGCCTGTTAATGCAGCAGTATTGTGCCAGTAAAGCTGTGCCAATGAGCAGCCATGTGACCAGGAGTTTGGCGACGGAATCATAAAGCCTCCTTTGCATTTGAAACGCAGGGTATTTATTTCATCATTTACTGACTCGTGATTGACCAGGGTCACTGTGTATCAGTTAAGACGGCCTAAGTCTTTTAAAACAGGCATTGAAGTCAAACCGTTGCTGGTCTGCAGCCAGTGTCACACTGTGAAATTCACCTGGAGGAAAGAATCCACTCTGACACCTTAGATCAGCTGCTCTAAAAATAGAGCGCAAAAAAAAGTAAAAAGACAAAGTAGTGACCTTCAAGACTAGGATGCAGCCTCAGACTCCGAGCCGTTCTCTTCACCCGTGTTTCCTTTTCTCAGCCAGTGCGTGCCCACTGCAGTCAGGACAAAAGTTGTGTTGAGTCGTATACGGCCTTGGTATTGTTGCGTGTACTCAAGATGTAGCCTTAAAGCTCTCCTGTTACCTCCGAGCTCTACATCTCCAGAATACACTATTTATAATCTCACGCATTCCTTCGCTCAAGACAAAGTATTTTTGTCTGCAGTCACAGAAGTCGTGATGACGAACGGATCTCAAAGCCGTCTTCAACTCCCGTGAAGCTACCGGAGGAGGTTCCCCTGCCAAAACCGAAGGAGTCGGCTATTGCTAGAGAGGAGAAACAGCTCCCACCACTCCCAGGTCAGTAATAACACAGCCATTAAACCTGAATATTGTGTGTACATGTCAGACAAGTGATTTGTAAATCAGAAGTTATCGGATAGACATGTCAGTACACCCATTATTTGTGTCTTGTACCTGTCAGCAAATACGACATGTGGGTTTCCCCGTCCATCATAAGCAGTCATTTAATTGTTTTATTAAATGATTTCATGATCGTAAAATGAAGTCTTCTTTGAACCAGCCATTTTTGACCTTTTTTAGGAGCATAACTACCGAAAGAAAAAAAAAAAAAAAGTTAGATCCAGACGCCTGCTGAGCCTGGCTGAGTTCGCCTGAAGCCAAATGAAAATAGACCGTATGAGTTGATCGAGTCTGACGTTCCTCCCCAGCCTGCAGCGCTCTGCTGCCTTTATGTTTGACCTCCCTGCTAAGGACGCTATGTGCCTTGAGTGTGTGTGTGTGTGTGTGTGTGTGTGTGTGTGTGTGTGTGTGTGATGACACTTTGACAGTGTGTGGTTTTGAACAGTTGTGTTTTCAATTACTGTAATTGTACTTAGTTTAACACGTGTATCTGCGGTGTTGTGAAGTTGTGAATGTGTTTGAGGGAGTATTTCTTTGTTTTTAAACCTGTTCAGCGTGTGTCTGCATTAATAACCTGAGGCTGTGTTTTGGTTCAGAGCCCAAGCCGGTGTATGCTCAGCCTGGACAGCCAGATGTAGACCTGCCAGTCAGTCCCTCTGATGCCCCGGTGCCAAGTGCTGCCCATGACGATGGCATCCTACGGTAATAATAACGGCGAACAAATTCACACCATCAAATATTAATGGCTTATTAAAATCTACAAAACAAAAAGTGAGTGCCTCACTCCATAAATCTCAGTTCACTTTTATAACAAGTGATGGCAAGAGTGAGGAGCTTTTTTAATTTTATATAACAACAGCACATCTTGAAGTAGCAATTGACAGTTTTCAAAATGTTATCTGTACGAAGCATTTCGGCTGCAACAAGGCAAAGATTTAAAAATGTTCTGAACACACTGGATTGTTCTGTGGGAGACAGTTTACTGTGGTTATTTTTCTCTTTATCGACATTATTGAAATATATTCAAATGTTCTCCATCACTGCGCCTTTCTCTTTCTCCAGAACAATTGCACGTCTTTGCTTTTATAAGCTCGGTAAAGAGACGACGGTCTCGGCAAAAAGAGAAAACCTGGCTTACATCCAAGAGTCACTCAACTATTCATAAATTGCAGTTTTCTCTGCAAAGACAGAAATGCCATCAAATGGTGTCATGTCAAAGAAAATCATCCTAACAATAGTCTTCCCCATCCTCAGGCCAAGCATGAAGCTGGTGAAGTTCAGGAAAGGGGAGAGCGTGGGGCTGCGGCTGGCCGGGGGGAATGACGTGGGCATCTTTGTAGCCGGAGTGCTTGAGGACAGCCCAGCTTCCAAGGAGGGCCTGGAGGAGGGCGACCAAATTCTCAGGGTGAGATGCTTTTACTTTTTAACACAGCGAGTGTGTAACCTGACAGCTACAACCAAGTGGTTCTTGTCTAACTTAAGAGGTGTTGAAAAAACTGCAAAAAGTTCCATGTCCAGAACTTAGAGCTGTTATTCTTCGTCACAAAGGATTGTTTTTTTCTTCTCCTTGTCTTAACAATGGGTACCTGATGGCATCTGTAAACAGACATGTTTTATGGGGTATGCGTCCTCAAGCTTTTCCCTTTTTATATTCATGGTTTTACACACTAGCTGCTCCAAAATGCTTGTACCTCCATGCTGGTCTCTTAGCAATGGCCCAGAGGGAGCACACACAAAAAAAATGCTGTTTCCTCTCGCTGTGTTTGTCCCGTTTCCTCAAAGCCATATATCTCCCCGTTTGTACCTCCTCCTGCTTTCTTTAAGTATAAAGAGGAATGGCTTGAGTTCTTATAGTGCAGTAAAATCTTCAGACAGACAATACTGAGAACAGCAAGAGCGATGTAATCCTTTCTATACAAACAGAGATTTACACCTCCCCTCACGCACACTTTGAACAATGAAGCTTACTTCTTAACTCAAACTTTAAAGTACTCGACAACAGCGGTAAGCATAAATTAGTAATCTCTGTGTTCCCAAATTGCAGGTAAACAATGTAGATTTTGCGAACATAATCCGAGAGGAGGCGGTGCTGTTCCTCCTAGACCTTCCGAAGGGTGAAGAGGTCACCATTCTGGCCCAGAAGAAGAAAGATGGTAAGTGAAGTGAGTAAGGAGATGAAATGAGAGATTAAGTTCTGTTGATCACATTAGCCCAATGTTTCTGACTCGCTGTCTCCTGCTCAGTGTATCGGCGGATTGTGGAGTCGGACGTCGGCGACTCCTTCTACATCCGGACACACTTTGAGTACGAGAAGGAATCTCCGTATGGGTTGAGCTTCAACAAGGGGGAGGTGTTCCGTGTGGTGGACACCCTCTACAACGGGAAGCTGGGCTCCTGGCTGGCCATTCGCATCGGCAAGAATCACCAAGAGGTGGAGAGGGGCATCATCCCCAACAAAAACAGGTGACCTGAGAGACATGTTATGGGTTTAATGATTAACTTTATTTATAGAGCACCACAAGAGATGCTAAGATATAAAAGTTACATAAAAACCAGACCATTAAGAATAATAAAAAGGATAGAGTATATAACAATGACATTATAAGCCAAATTTAGCTGCGGGTTAAAAAGGTTCATGTGTCTGCTCAAAGAGTGACATGCTTGATAAATGTTTGCAACAACAGTTCTCTTATTAATATTACATTTGTAATGATTATCATTGACATGTAGCGTCCTGAGGCATTGGCAGTGTTTAGGTTAGCGGTGCCAGATTTCTGACACACCCATTAGCTTGTGTTACATTAAGAACCGTCTCTGTCTTTCTGTCATTCGTTAACAGAGCAGAGCAGCTGTCCAGCGTGCAATACACTCTCCCCAAGACGGCGGGTGGCGACAGGGCTGACTTCTGGAGGTTTCGTGGTCTTCGGAGCTCAAAGAGGAACCTGAGGAAGAGCAGAGAGGATCTCTCTTCTCAGCCAGTCCAGACAAAGTTCCCGGCTTATGAAAGAGTTGTACTGAGAGAGGGTGAGGACTCTGACAGTGTCTGCTAGCCTACAGCCTACATTTCTGAGTCTTTATATATTTTTTTGTATTTCTGTGCAGCTGGTTTCCTGAGACCTGTGGTGATATTTGGGCCGATCGCTGATACTGCTCGAGAAAAACTCTCCAGAGAAGAGCCAGATCTTTTTGAGCTTGCAAGTATGTTTGTCTACATTTTACTGCACATATATTGTAGAAAACATCAACTGACAGTAAGCTTATTAGTGTTCAAGATTTATTTCTCTTCATGAATCCCTTTTAATCTCTTTTCCAGAGAGTGAACCGAGAGATGCAGGAACAGACCAGCGTAGTTCAGGAATCATTCGTCTTCACACCATCAAGCAGATCATTGACAGAGTGAGTAGGCCTCCTTGTATCGTATAAACAGCGTTGTAGGTTCGTAGAGTATTTCCTAACAGATATATTTTTCCTCTTTCCTGCCCTTATCTCATGAAGGACAAACATGCTGTCCTGGACATCACCCCGAACGCTGTGGACAGGCTGAACTATGCTCAGTGGTACCCGATTGTAGTCTTCCTAAATCCTGATACTAAGCAGGGTGTGAAGAACATGAGGACCAGACTGTGTCCAGAGTCCAGGAAGAGCGCCAGGAAGCTCTATGAGAGAGCCATCAAACTGAGGAAGAATAATCACCACCTGTTCACCAGTGAGTGTGCAGAGTGTATCCTGTCTCTTTTCACATGTTTTATTCTTCTTGAAGTGATAGTGACCAAAAACAAAATACCCTCTTTCAGCCACCATCAACTTGAACAATATGAATGATGGCTGGTACGGAGCTCTGAAAGAAACAATCCAGCAGCAGCAGAACCAGTTGGTGTGGGTGTCAGAGGGCAAGGTGAGAGACTGTTGCGTCATTCCTTGTTCCTCAACAATATTGTTGGGTTTCCTGTTCGTCTCACTATCGTTTCTCTGCTCAGGCGGATGGCACTACAGAGGATGACCTGGACATCCACGACGACCGTCTGTCCTACCTGTCTGCGCCAGGAAGTGAATACTCCATGTACAGCACGGACAGCCGCCACACCTCTGACTACGAGGACACGGACACGGAGGGCGGAGCGTACACAGACCAGGAGCTGGACGAGACACTGAACGACGAAGTGGGTCTGCCCACGGAGCCCGCCATCACCCGCTCATCCGAGCCTGTGCGAGAAGACCCGCCTGTAATTCAGGACACCCCTGGTTATCCTGGATACCAGCACCCTGTGCAGCCCGACCCAGCCAGTCGCATAGACCCTGCTGGGTTCAAGATGGCCGCTCCGCAACAGGTAACATTTATATCTAGCTTTGCAGGCTGCACCCGGCCGTCAGAGATGGATGATGGCTAAAAGTACTGGCGAGCTGAGGAATAGCTCCTTTGTGTTCAGTGTTGTGTCCTGACCGTTGTTAAGATTTAATGCCCATTGCTAAGTAATAAACCTGTTCTAGAAGCTACTGGTATGTTATCTATTCTAACCACATGCTCTGGCTGGTGTAAAACTGATTCAGTGTAAGGAAGAAGCTCGTGGTGTTGGGGTGAGCTGTGCTTTGTGTGCCCTTGGCAGGCTGTGTTATAAATGTCTCTTAACAATACTTCACAGCGAGATGAGGCTGCTCTGCCCATGCCCTCGTTGCCTCCGCCGGCGGTAGCGCCCCCTGCTGTTGAGCAGCCTGTACAGCTTGAGGGTGTGCACCTAGAGGAGCCGCCTGCTGCAGCCGCAGCTCCTCAGGCGGACTCACTTAGCAGCCCCAGCCCTGCCCCTGAGCTTATTCAGCCCCCATCACCACATGAACCCCACCCATCTGGACCGCCTGGTCCAGAACCAAAGGTACCCGCTGTTTCTCCAGCCACTCGGACCGGGCCTGGGCCACAGCCTGCTGTTTTAACTGCCTGTCTTCTCGCACATGCTTTCCACTCGCTCTCTGCATGACACGCCCACACTGTGTGCCTCACTGAGCCCACTGTGTGCTTCTGGCTCCCAGAGAAAATGTGCGACAGACTAGTCCACATGCACCACAGTGGGCTGGGAGACCAGGAGGACTGGTACATTTGAGTCTTTGACCAGGGGGAAGACATCCACAACCAGCCCGAACTGTTGCCTCTTACTTCCTTTGCATGGCACCTAATGTTTTTTGGGGTTCCTTTCAGCTTTAACTCTCTTCTGTAGATGAACGATAGTAGCACTTACAGTGGCATCACGGTGGTAGATGTGTCGTCTGTTGTAGTGCCAGTAGTTTGACGTTGCATTAGATGCAAACTGAATGTTGGTTGCATGATGAAAGCTAACCTGCAGACAGTACTCTTGGTAATGATTTCCATCAAGCAATATTCCGTATCTAAAAACTTACATCGGCACACTGCATTGTGTCTTCCGTTGAGTAGTTTTGTTCGGAGTAGATGACAACAAATCAACCTTCTTCCATAGGAAGTACTGTAACTGTATTTGCTGTCTACAGGCTACACATCATTTGTTTGAAATGAGGCCTTTCAGAAATGTGCAAATTGCTTGTTAGTTCACTATTTATTAAATGTGTTAATGTGTAAAACCTCATGTCCATATGAATTTTAATCATTCTTGAGAGGCATCTTGTCAAACAGGCATTCAGAACTGTTTTTGAATAATGGACAAAGGTTTGCTTGTGTAGTTGCACTTTGAATTGATTTTTGTTTAATTAAACAGTAGAGGGATTTCTTTCCTAATGATTTGGTTAATTTTATACATGTTAAATTCCTCAAAGTTTCAGTTTATATTCCAGTCATGAATGTAATCTTTTTAATTATTCTCTATGTGGTGTTGGGAAAGCATTTTTCCCCGGCTGCTTTCTGTCCTCCAACATGGTGATTGTTAAAAGCTGAAAGTGACAACGTTGTAATGGATGAATTCATTCAGTGTTGTTTCTTCACAGATGTACAAGAAAGATCTGTACAATATGGAGGACCCTGTGCGAATCAACCATGGCCTGAAGCAGTCTTTGAGCTACTGTCACCAGCCGTTCCAGGACAAACAGCCATACCGCGATTACGACCACCTGCCTTACGGATACGATGGAGGCGGCTTCACCGATCCAAAGCCTCATAACACTGACTCTCACCTGCACTACGACAACCGTGTGCCTCATTACAACGAACAGTGGCCCCCCTATGACCAGCAGACCTCGTCCTCCCAGCCCGCAGGGTACCAGCCGGGCCACCAGCAACCCATGGGCTACAGCCCCCGGTCGCCCTACGACGACGGACCGGGCAGGGACTACAGCCCCACCCAGCCGCGTTACGATGAGGCCCCTCCGGTGGGCTACGACGGCAGACGACGGCACAGTAAACCTGGGCCCATTCGTTACGATGAGCCCCCGCCCCCAGCTGGCTATGACGCCCGCTCCCCCTATGAGGCAGAACCTCACGGCTTCCCCATTAATTCACCCCGATCGCCGGAGCCCCCAAAGCAGTATTACAGTGACTCTGGTCTGAGGCCCACCTACATTCCTGGGCCTGCAAACCGTGGCTTTAAGCAAGGGATGCATGACCCTATGATGAACTCTGAATCCACAATTCCCCCTCCTAAACCAGAGACCCTGCCCTCTCCCGGCGAGCCAGCGATCACTCCAGGCTCCAAACCCCTCCCTCCTCCGCCACGGGAAGGCCTGGACGAGGACCCGGCCATGAAGCCACAGTCGGTGCTCAACAGAGTGAAGATGTTTGAGAACAAACGCTCTGTTTCTATGGACAGGGCTAAAGAAGGAGGAGAATCAGCTCTCAGGGTGAGTTCCTCACAGGGGTGTACAAATTAATGTGAACACCTCGTAACTCTACATTTTAACCCCGAAAATAACTTCATCACCGTTATTGATAAGAAAGAAAGATTCTGTAGTTGGAGAACTATTAAATTGGAAAATTGCAGCCAGGTCACACTCTGAAAGAGGTGGTTCATGTGAGGCTAAATTTCAGATGGCAGCCTTTGTTAGTTATTAAAGGGGTTTAACAATTGGTACTTTGATATGTTAGTATTTCAAAGCAGCACAAGATAACCAAAAATGCCCCACTGAGGCCAAATGACCTTTTCCCAAACTGCAGTCAAAAAACTGCAGAATAGACGCGCTTCAAACTGCAAGCTTGTTTTCGTGAAATGATCGTCTGCTTTGTAATCCTCTGGCCTGTGAGCTGTCAGGCACAGATAGCCATGTGCCTGCAATTCGTTCATGTGAACAAAAATCTGGATCAGATGCAAGAAGCACTAAAGAGACACCTTCGCTTTGCTTTTCAGCCTGCAGATGTTCCTAAACCTGTGATTGCACCTGGCCCAGTCCTCAAAGCCAATTCCCTCAGCAACCTGGAGCAGGAGAAATCCACCTATAGGTATGTAGTCCTCACAGAACCTCAGGCTGCAAAGTAGGTGGGTGAAGGACAACTAGGAGATCCTTGCAAAGGCATCTTGGAAATATATTATAGTTGTTTGAGCTCCACCTAGTGGACACAGGTCACCGTGTAGCAAGCCAGACTCTGTGGTGTGCAAAGACACACAAGGCATCAAAAGAATGTCTTTCTACCAGGACGACCAGTTCTGCATGTTTACGGAGTCATTAGGAATGTCGTGGCTCCCTGCTGTGAAAAGGTCAGCTCCAGTCTCATTGCCGTGCTGAGCTCCTCACCCCGTCTGGGACGTCCAGATTATTTTCAAACATACTTGATCATTTCAAATCACAGTCAGGATGTCTTCCATCAAAACGTTGTCCAGCGGGCGTTAGACCAATCCTACTGTCTTTCCCTGCAGTTTAAATCTCTGCAGCTGTTTTACTCATTTCTTTTTGCTTCCTCTGCAGGGCCCCTGAGCCACAGAAGCCCCATCATAAACCCCTGGATGATGTAATGCGGTCTAACCACTATGACCCAGATGAGGATGAGGAGTACTACAGGAAGCAGTTGTCCTACTTTGATCGCCGCAGCTTCGACAGCAAGGCCATGGGCCAACCCAGTCCTGGCATCAACCGCTTCCACGATCTGCCCAAACCAGCTCAGCTGTCCTACCCGTACAACAGGTATGCACCTCATGCCAGCACTGTTGGCTGATGTGCAAAACACCTCTGCTTTTTAACTCCACCCGCTGCGGAATCATAATTATTTTGTTAACCGTTTTGTTTTGTGTACTGCAGAGTTGAGTCTGTAGAGAAGGTGAGTCCAGTGGAGAAAAGATATGAACCCTTGCCCCAGATCAGCCCCTCATCACAGCGTCCAGCGTCCGCCATCCCACCCAACGCACTGCTCAAGCTCAGCCCCAATGACGGTAAGCGCTCTCTTCAAAAGTGCGAGAGTATAATGGTGTGACAAAGACTGTGTTTAAGTGATTGTATTTTCCTTCAACCATCTCCAGCGAACTCCATACCCGAGCCATTGGGTTCACCCAATCCCAAACCCGAGCTGCCGGCTCTCAGGCCGGCTAGCAGAGACGAACCCACTCCTGGCGGCTACCTGCCCCCGAGGGGCATCCCCGACAAATCCCCAGTCAATGGCACCGAAACGGCAAAGACGCTGGGCGCTCCTGCTCCAACGAGCTATAACCGCTATGTCCCCAAGCCGTACACCAGCTCAGCCCGGCCCTTTGAGCGCAAGTTCGAGAGCCCCAAGTTCAACCACAACCTGCTGCCCAACGACACACAGGTGAAGACGGACCTCCTCAGCAAGCCCAGTGTGGTGAGCAACAGCAGCGGGAAGCCTGCGCTGTCACCACAGCCCCTGGACCATGACAGTGGTCTGGACACCTTCACACGCACTATGGACAACAGGCCCAAATACCAGCACAATAACATCAACGCCATTCCCAAGGCCATCCCTGTAAGGTGAGAAACCCGTACCTTTTCAAGGGTAATTACGGAGCTGCTGAAAGACATAGAGAGACTTGTTTTGTTCACAGGGGGTTTGTTCTTGTGTCCTCTGCTGTGCAACTTTCTCTACCGACACGGTTTTGACTGATGATGCTGACTTTTGCGCTGCGTCCCTCAGCCCCAGCACGCTGGATGATGACGACGAGGACGAAGGCCACACGGTGGTGGCCACCGCCCGGGGGATCTTCAACTGTAACGGAGGGGTCCTGAGCTCCATCGAGACGGGCGTCAGCATCATCATCCCTCAGGGTGCCATCCCCGAGAGCGTGGAGCAGGAGATTTACTTCAAGGTGTGCCGGGACAACAGCATCCTGCCCCCCCTCGACAAGGAGAAAGGTCAGTCCTTCCTTTATGTCTGAATGTCAAGGAACAAACTTTACTACACTCGGAGAAAAGCTACACTTGAAGTAATACAATAACCGCAGTAAACACGGGAGTTTGAGGCTTTTTAGTTTTACTTCAGGGTAGTTTCTGCAGTAGCCTTTATTGGATAATTGTAGATTTGATTCCCACCTTATCTAAGACTTTATACATTTATGACTGACTACAAAAGCAAACAACTCTACATGTTATGAGAAGAAGTATAAACATAAAAGTCTTAAGAAGATAAAACAAAATAAATAGCTGATGTACAGGCAAACCGGTGGTTACACAGTTAGAAATGAGCTCTGACATAAAATAACATCCCAGCAGTATATTTAGAGGATTTCTTTAGATTAACATTCAGCACCGAGGGAGTGTGGTCATTTAATGAATCTGGCAAGTCAGTTAACAGTTAATTATCATTCACCATGAAGGCCTGGCTCCATTTTGCCTCTTGATTGGGTAATAAATAATCCTGTGTGCTGATTAATTCCTGCAGGTTTCATTTGTGGAATTTAAATCTTGTTGTGTGTCCGTGCAGGAGAAACGCTGCTAAGTCCGCTGGTGATGTGTGGCCCGCATGGACTCAAGTTCCTGAAGCCGGTGGAGCTGCGCTTACCTCACTGTGCGTCTATGACCCCTGATGGTTGGTCTTTTGCTCTAAAATCCTCCGACTCCTCGTCGGGTACGCTGTCCTCTGTCCTTTTGGGGTCTTTGGGCTGGCTTTTGTGATTAGAGAGGAGAGATTTTGGTGTCTGACTCATTTAAATCATGTCATCTCTGTTTTCCATATCCCCCTCATTTCTTCTTCATGCCTGTGCTGTTTGGAGATTTGATGTGTTGGCTTAATATGAACTGAGGCTAAGGCTTGCAGACAGTTCTAAGTAAATAAATCACTTCAGCGCCACTAGAGCTGAAACATTTAGTCGATTTATTGGAGTCGAGTCAGTAAACAGAAACCATTTTTACAATTAAGAACAAAAATGCCAAATGTTACATAAGTTCCAGCTACTCAATGGTTGGTTTAGTCTTATCAGACAGTAAACTGAATGTCTGTGGAGTTTAAGTTGCATTTTTTTATAGTAAGAGTACAAAACACGTCAACAACATCTTTTTTCTATTCCACACATTCCTCTTCCTTCTCAAAACCTGGTGCCTACATTTCCCACAATGCAACACAAGTCACCGTAAGCAATCAGTAGCTTAATTAGGATCGGGCCACCAGCCTAATAAACATAAACAAGATTCTTGTGTCATTTACCAACATGTAGATGTTTGCATCTGACCACCTTCATACAGCTTTATATTTCCATGAGAAGCAGCACTGCTGTGTTTTCAGAGAGGCACCTTTGGAACTGGATTATAGCTCATTTGGTGGCATATGAACTCATGTATGAAGTAACTGAGTTAACATGAATTAGATTTGATCCATTAAACATTAACTAGTCACATAAACTCATGGTGGGCCACAGGAATTAATTCCCTGCTTTAATGTTTGCATTAAATCATCATCAGTCATACGTGTTCTCATTGAGACTTGTTGTATTTATGATCCATCTATCAGAATAATCCCTTCTGTTTTGAGCATCTGGTGTGTTTTTGTTAGGGATGCACCGATATATGATACCGGATATCGGGCCCATACTGACTCAAACAGCTGCATCGGTTATCAGTGACAATGAGGCAGATCTATTCACTCATACATGCAGATGTTGCATTATATGCTGGAGTTGTAATTCCTGTTCATTTTGAAGATTGTTAAGCGATTTATTTGTTACATTTTGTCTTCCAAAGTTAAGAAAGCAATGTTAAAGTCAAGCCTGATGCCTTACACATGAAAGAGTATTAATTCTAACACAGATTTGTACTCCGATACCCAAAACACAGGTACACACCGGTGCATCCCCTGGTTTATTTTCTGTATTTAAGTAAAGGAAGGGAGGCTCCAGCAGCTGACATCATGTCTCTCTTTCCTGCAGGTGATCCCAAAACCTGGCAGAACAAATCTCTCCCCGGAGACCCAAACTACCTGGTGGGTGCAAACTGTGTGTCTGTGCTCATTGACCACTTCTGAAGAGGATAACAGCTGGCCTGTTACTGAATGTGATAAACAGGGGACCTCATTTGCCCCTGCCGGGCTCCCTCCCCCGTGGCAGGGTGCACGATGCTCGATGAAGTATGAACCTGATACTCTCACGTTGTTAACTGTGCCCAAAAATTTAAAAAAAAATAAGAAAAAATCGACACACACACAAGGAGAGTCGAAGGAGTCCAGCATCCCCAACGCTGTACTCTTGTTCGTTTCTTTCTTTCTATTTCGGTGCTTTCAAGGCTTGCAAAAAATAAAGATTCAAACAAGTTATTCAAACAAGGGAACTGAAGTTGGAATGCATGACCAGTGCCACAGACTGAATAATCTCGTTTTGACTTTTTTTATTTTTTTTTTAGCTAATTTTGTAAAAGGTCAGAGCGGTGCAGGAAAAAGGAGAATTTTGGAAACTCATTTAATAGTGCAATGGGATTTTTTGCGTACTGAAAAAAAAAAAACAAGCAACACTCACAAACAGCAAAGTTGGTATATGCAAAACTTTTGTTTGTGAGTTCTGTGGTCATGCGTTTCACTCGTGAAGGATCTCTGAGGACTTGAGAAATGCTGAGTCCGACTCACGAAGGAAGACGTAGGCATCGCAAAGATGAAGAAAAAAAAAACAATAAGAAGAAGAATGAAGGTTAAGTATTAGTATCAGATGCCCGTTTGTTGTGACGGGGCTGTCTCTGTTTAAAACTGATGTTTTGTAGCAATGTTTTACCGTAGATAAGTATACTGACTTGATTTTACAAACTCCTGCTGTCTAGAGATCTATGCATGTGCTATGACTCAGGTCCAGAAGCCTGCTACTACTAAGTTCAACACATGAAAACCCCATCGTACACTGCAAGCAGTGATGCCTTATCTGCATATTAACTTTTCAGTGAAACTTTAAAAACATCGGTTCCTTCAGTTATCGCGATCACTGCGGAAAGAAAAAGTCGTCTCTGCATTTTCTCATAAACCGTGAACTTGGATTTAGCACACGAGAATAATTGAGGCTGATGAAAAGGTACGCTTTCTTTTACTGCTATGCATATGAAGTTTGAGGAAATTCAAAAAGCTAGAAGATGATTAAATTGTTGCTGTACATATTGCTAGTATATGGCCTTGGTTCTCTGTAAATGAACTTTTGTACATCTTTGTTATTTTGTATAAAAGAGAAAACGTTTGTTTAAAAAGAGAAAGCGGTTACATTGGTTATGTTTGTATTCTGGTTATACCCCTGAGCCTTGGAACTGACATAAGCAGTAATAAGTCTGACTTTTCTACCAACATATACACACACACACACACTACTTAAGGCATTTTTAACAGTCAGAAAACTTTTTATTCTTATTTACAAAATAGAGAAGTGCTTGGTTTAAATGATTTTAAAAGATGTACTTGAGGGGGTCTGCTGTGAAGAGTGGTCCCTTCCTTTATTTGTGATACTGGATGCTGTATTGTGTGCCCTGAAATGTATTTTTGTACTAATAGACAATTTATTATGGCACATCAGTACAATTTTCTTTTGATATGATAACACTGCTTCAACCCAACACTAGTTGATTTCCCCGTGCGACTGACATTTTTATTTATTTTTCTTTGGTTCAACTTCTTTTTTTTTTGTTTCTCATTTGCGTCACATTTCTAAGTATACCACTGTATTAATAAATAAATTCATTTTTAAAGTAACTGCTGCTTGTGTTGGTGTGTTGTGTTGATCTAAACTTCCAGATGTTTTACATACCAACACACCCGGACCGTTGTGTATTGTCAGCGTTCAACATTTGATTCAAGCTTTCTGACATTCACAGCTGCTTCACAGTTCATTCCACATGTAAAGTCAGTGAATCGAGTTGTCGGGTGGATTCTTCGCTTGCACTAATGCAAGTCCAGTGCTGACGGTGTTCTTTTAAAGATTAACAGCTATTGGCACGCATCCTATTGGGTTTGCTTGGTAACTCCAGTTCACTGGCTGTTCTAAGCCAGAAATAGTTTCCTTTCCACGTCCCATACTCGTGAACGTCTTGAGAGAATTTCTTCACATTTGGCACAAACGTCTATTGGACTCGAGGTTAAAACATTAAATATTGTGTCAGCCGTTCTCTTGAACTCGTATCTCAGGAACACTGAGGGAATTTCTTGGAATTTGGGACAAACTTCCACTTGGACACCAGGATGACCTGATTAGAATTGTTTTTTTATAACATACTATGACATTTCAATGGTATACTATAAACATATACTAAAGCTTTTTATGATACTTCACAGCCATGCTATACTACAAGTTTCTTTAATGTGTTACGCCCCTCCCACCGTCTTGAAGGCTGTCCTGGCCAACCTCAGCAGGCACTTGGCTGACAAGAGAGGGTCGTCAGCTTGATGAAGCTCATCCGGGCCTTCCAGCCTATAAAAGCTGGTCCACGTTGTCTCTCCCTTCCTACAGCCGACATCCACACTGCATGTCCTTTTGGTTTTGCACCTTCAAAACCTCCACAGCACACACACCACACACGCATGCACTGCTTTCATCACTGACTTTGCTGATCTGCACACTCCAATGTTTGTTTTGTGTTAACAAGTCGTTTGGTTTGAGAACGTTGCGTGGTCTCCCTCCTCGTTACATTCCTGAGCCAGTTTGTGATACTATGACTTAATGGTATCCTGTACAATGGCACGTTAGACTTTTCTATGGGATACTATACATTGACATACTATACTGACTTTTTTATGCCTCTCAATTATATTTTTAATACTGTTGATGACATAGTATAGTATGACATACTATACTATGTTATTGTGGCATTCTATAATATAATTTTTTTATGAAATACTATACTGTGAATTTTTAACTTCTATGTGACATATTATACTGTGACTTTTATGAGAAACTATAAGATTACTTTTTTTAATAACATATTAAGACTTTATGACATATACAAGACCTTTTTTTGAGATACTATAAAATGAATTTTTAATAAGATATTCACCTTTTATGACATTGTAGATTCTATTGCATACTATAATTTTTTTTCTGAAACTGGAATTGCAACAGAATGTATAAAGCTACTCAGCTTTTAATAGTTTGTCTGAAAACTTCCGCTAACTATCTAAAAATATACATCTTAAAATCAAATCTAGGCCCTCTACCTCCAAATGCAAAATCTAAGAAAGAAATATATATATTTTTTAAGTTTAACCAGATACAAAGTCTCCTTTGGTGGAAAGTAAAAGTTTGACATTTCCACACCACAAGTCTACAGAACCTTTGGCTTATAACCCAGTTGTGAAAGTCAAACACGTAAGGGAAGTAACAATAAGAACACCACATTTGATTCAGTGGTGAAGTTGACTTAAGTTCAACTCAACTTATTTCTCTGAAACCAGCCAATTTCAAAATGTTTCCATGTTTGTCACACTAGCAGTCGTTAGTTTAACTCTATGTGATGTTTGTGCACACACGTTGATTAAGTAAAGACTGGCTCTACATAACAGTACAAAGGTTCACTGATACAACCAAGAGAGATTGTGCCAATATGTGACATAAGTAAGTCTTAAAAGTTTATCTACAGCTGTGTAATAGCTGACCCCAGTGATTTTCAGTCTAATGCAAACAAACTGAAACTTCAAATGTTACCATTTTTCTGGCCAATCATGAAATAGGAGCCATGGGGAAAAAAGACAACCAGAGTTTAATTATTAAAACTACAACAGTGGCAGTAAGACATACCTGTATATCAAATACTGTCAGCATTAAAGAATACATTTACAAAAACTGCAGAGATGCACGGAAATTGTGTTATTAAAATAAAGTAGTCTTTTAACCCTCCTATTATCTTTGGGGTCAATTTCAATGTTTAAAGTCTCAAAATGATGAGTGTTCCCCAGCTGTATAAAAACAGATTTTGAGGTCACTATGCAATGTTTCAATCTTTAGGGGCCTAGCCTGCCATATCACATACATGTCGTAGTGTGAGAAACCCTGATATGTCCCATTTTGTGCCAGTGAGGTTTAGCCACAGCTCTCAGACAGTGACTTTGAGGAGAATGTTGAGAAGGACCCTGATTATGAGGATTTCTCCTCCGATGAGAATAAGACCCTTGAGGTTGCCCCTTCCTGTCGCCTCTCAAACACCAGCAGAAGATTCTGGGGTCATGTTTTATCACAAACTACCCGACACAAGTTGGGTAATAGGTTGAATTGCAATCATTTTATGGGGGTCCAATTGACCCTCAAGGACAAAAAGATAAGGGGTTAAAACATTATGCAATGTGTCAGAGTCTGTCCCTGAGATTAGTTGCCTGATAAACATTACCTAGAATGAGGTGTTATCTGGTTCAATAATTGCTACTTCAAAGTTTCTGTGTTAGAGTTTTATATCTCGACGAGCGATTGCTCTGTAGATGTCTTCAGTCAGGGGAACATATGTCTTTTTCTCAAGATCTAAAAAGTATAAAGGATCTTCGATGTGAGCTGGATTGAATCCCTCCTCCACCAACTTCACTTTCTTCATCTTGAACGTCCCCGTCATCTCCAGGTAGGGCTACAAAACAAACATTTTTAGGAATTTGAAAAATGTTTTTGGGATCAAATTTGGCAACAGTTAATATGAAGGTCATGTTTATAACGCATCATAAGCAGGTGGGGCAGCTTGTGTTCTGGCTGAGAGGCAACACCCAGCGCAGGAAAGTCCTGAAATCCCTTGCTGCTGCTTTAAAACCCATAACGTCTTACTATAGTCAGATGCCTCAAGGCTGCAGGTGCATGAAATAAGATAACAAAATGCTACGCAAATTATTGTTTTGATTTTTACCTGAATCCTGATGAATCGAGGTCTTGCGTACGCTGGGAGGTAGGTCACGACCTGCTTGTAGGTGTGCAAACAGTCAAAATCGTCTCCTTCTTTCAGAGTGACCGCTGCCATGCCGATCCGACCCTCGTGACCTAATCAGACAATTGAATTGGTTACATATAGAAAATATTAAAAAGCAGAGAATACAGCATTTCATTTTAACATAATAATTTCTGACATCATTAGTGGCTTTACCTTCAACTTTAACGCCGTAGACATTTGCCTCAAAAATACTGTTAGCTACTGAGAGAATGTCTGCAACCTCCGATGTGGCAACGTTTTCTCCTTTCCATCTGCAACAACAAACAAGCAACAGACACTACAATAAGAAAACACTTGTGCAAGATGTCATCCCAAATGACTTCCTGACTGACACCAGATTTAAACAAATAACTGAAAAGATATCTTTTGGAAAAAAACTGCGCCTATGAAGTGTAAATGAGAGCTGTGCAAAGTTTAGAAATTGTAGTTTAGTCTTTTATGATGTGAAAACCACACTGAGCCATCTAAATCTAATATCTCCATGTTAAAACACCTAAACAAATGGAAGACCTCCTGTCCTTTGAGAGAATTAAAACAACAAATCTAACAGATCAACACAAATGTGTCACTACTTGCCTGAAAGTGTCTCCAACTCGATCCTGAAAGTACACAAACTTGTTGTGATCAAACCGAAGTAAATCCCCAGTGTTGAAGTACAGGTCGCCTTTCTTCATCACGTCACGAAGTCTCTTCTTCTCCGTCTGTTGCTGGTTGCCAGCGTACCCGGCAAAGGGCGACCTCAGAGTAACCCTTCCAACCAAAAGTCCCGTCTCACCTGACAAAAAAAAGACACATGAAAAATGTCGATTATAGATCCGAGGTGACGCTTTAAGGTTGCATGTTTCGTCCAACCAACAACCCAAAACCAAATCATATTGAATTTACAATAACTAAAACTGATAAAAAAATGGATTATCAACATGTGTACTGCTGCTCTTGTGTCAAAGAAAGAGAAATAAGAACACAACGGTGTGTTTCCACCTGTGGCTGCCTCGATGCACAGACCCTCAGAGTTCCTGACAGGCTCTTCCTTCTCGGTGTCAAACTTGATCAAAGTGTACGGGAAGAAAAACTAGACGGAAGAAAGTTATAGAAAAAGTGAATTAGTCCATACTTTAACTATTTTATGACATACTACACTATGACTTTTACTCCAGCCATAGAGCAGCTCTGTGAGGCTGTACTAAGACACAGTGGCGCTTTGAGCTAAATGTTTAGCAGGCAGAATGTTCACCATATTAGTTTAGCGTGATAGCATGCTAACATTAGCTTATTAGCACTAAACACAAAGTACAGCTGATGGAATAAACATTCATTTTGACAGTATTTGGTCATATACCCAAATTTTGGGCAAATTTAAATTATGGTGTCGCTAGAGGAAAACCAACATACTGTATATACAATTCGTCTGTAACATTCTCGTTTACTCAAAAATAAAAATGTCAACCTCATGGCGGCGCTGGAGGAAAAGTCAGGGGATCACCAGTGTTATTAAGATTCATCCTCCGGAAACCAAGAATGTCTGTACCAAACGTATTAATAAGTCAGCCCACAGCTGTTGAGATATTTCAGTCTGGACTGAAGCAGTGCTGCTAGCGTGGCTGATGACAGCGGACACTTTCCTCTACTTACCCTGTGCACAAAATTGACCCGCCCAACTGCACCGATTTTGGACGTGTAATTGATGAAGCCGATGTTTCCCTCTGTGGCAGCGTACAACTCTCTGACTTTAATGTCACCGAAGCGATTCAGAAACTCAGTCCAAATGTCTGTTCGCACTCCATTGCCGATGGCGATCCTCACCCTGTGGTTCTTCTCGTTGTCTTTCTGCAAAAGACGAGTTTGACTCCGGGTCAAAACGGAGACATGCACAGCTTCATCTCTTCCATTAGAACAATAGTTTATTATTTTAACTGGAGATTCATTTTACCCTGGGCGAGTTGCAGAGGTAGCGCATCGTTTCACCGATGTACTGCATCACTGTCACATTATACTTCCTGCAGTCGTCCCAGAACTGAGAGGCAGAGAACTTTCTCCTCAGCACAATGGTTAGACCTGCAATAAACATCATATAACGCAGCTTTCATCTTACTGTGAATGTACACAGCATCTTCGTAAGTGCCCAAACAAAGGTGTGTGAATACTTTGGCAGATTGAGAGGATCATATTACCTCTCTCCATGCCTCCGATCATCCCGATGAGGAAGCCTGCGCTGTGATAGAGAGGCAGATTGATGTAGAAGATGTCCTCTGATGTGACTCCACATACCGCCTGGAGGAAGGAGGCGGCCCAAACCCTCTCATGGGTGACAACGGCTGCTTTAGGCAAACCTTCCAAAGCCAAAGATAATAAATCATCATCATCATCAGGTACAGCTAGTATGAGGTATATGCAGTTTGAAAGGAAACTTCTCACTCCTGCAGTATGAGCCAATTCTTTGCTGAATATTTTCTTTAAAGCTGCTCTAATCCACATTTTTATGCGAAACAATTTATCAAATGACTATGTGCAGTATGAAAGGAGTCGCTTGTAGGACATCATACAGCGAATCATCACTGGACTCTGGACATTCTGGTGTCATTCAGCTCATTGTTTGGGTTTTGCGGCCTGCAGCTTTACTGTTTGGACTCACTGTCACCTCCGTCATCAGATGTGATAAACCCACTGTACGATTCCTGCTCAGCACCAAACGTTAGCCAGAAATTTCCTTCAAGAGTGTTGAAAATGTTGCTCCTCATCTGTTGCATTTGTAAATGAGTAACTGTTGGCGTAAACTCATCTTATCTACGCCTTATATACGGGATCGGGTAGCAGGGGCAGCAGGCTTAAGGTATTCCTGATGTCCCTCTTTTCAGCAATGTTTCCCAGCTCTTTTTGAGGCACCCTGATGAATAAGACCCCTAAGATACTTAAACTCCCTCGCACGGGGCAGTGACTCACTCCCAACCCGGAGGGCGCAATCCACCGTTTTCCATCAGAGAACCACGGCCTTATACTCGGAGGTACTGACTCTCACCTCAAAACACATGTAGACTGGATGGGCAAGGTTTGCCAAAAGGTCGGAGTCTGATTGCCTGCTTAGACCTGATGTAGTACTCAGCTGACCTCAGGTGACCTGGTTAGGGTTTTTTTTCCCTCAATGCTGACTGCAGCCGCTGTTTGTCGAAAAAGGAGCTAAATACAAACTTTTTACAGCCACCTATCAAGTTCATAGTATTTTGGGAAACATCACATTAAGATTAGCAGAATTATCAGAGTACAGCAAACGTTTCGGTTTCTACAGAGAGAGTTAGAGTCTTGCCTTGACTACAAGAACAGTGTGTGAAAAGATATCAAGCTCCTCTTCAACACATGCGGAAGAAATACTGGATGTCTGCGAGTAAGAGTTAAACTCTTACTCGCTCACATACATGAACACTTCCCAGAACTATGAGCCTCTTAAGAAGAGTTTCAGTTCCCATTGAATAGTTTGAGACCGTTCATTGGCGAGCACCCGAGAAGAATCGAATGTCCACCCTCATTGGTATGAATGCAGTGGATAGAATATAACACACACCTCTCAGTAGAAGGAAATACAGTTTAACTGCACCACTAAATGAGCCTTCATAGTTACCATGAAGTGGAACCTCTCTAAAAACAGTTTCAGCAAAACATTATGATGTATTGCAGGACTGTTGTATTAGACTGCATTGGTTTTAGCTGGGTGTTCCTGGTGTACCTGTGGTGCCCGATGTGTAGATGTACAAAGCGGTGCTCCTGATGTTGACGTTGGCTCTGAGGTCCCGGGACAGCGGCTGATCGGAGGCCAGGGAGATCTTGTCAGACAAAGTGTTGATGCCCTGGATGCTGCAGGTCTCTGACATGAGGTACACACTGATACCTTGCTCTCTCAGCGTCGGTAAAACGTCCTCCAAAGCGTCCTGCAGCTCTGCAAACAGAGAGGCATTCAAGCTCCACACAATATGTCAAGAGCGCTGTGTTGCGCAATGCAGCACATGTTGGCTTCATGTTACCTCCCATCCCACTGGGACACGAGCACATGCTGCAGGAAAGTAAATGTGTGCATTGAAACTCTAGCGCCAAAATGGGGAGAGCGGAGAAACAAGTTTTCAGAGTGCCTCAAATGAACATCAGGACTGAATGTACAGAACACTGGAACACTGAGTGAAACCGTGGGGGGGGGGTAATAAACGTTTCATCACTTTTGCTGAGGAAGCTGTTAGTTCAGAGTCATCAACTGTTCTGTAAAAGTCCACTACTTTAAATAAAAGAGAGATAAAGCATTTGAACCGATATGATTTTGTATCTAGAACAAAATGAAACAAGTCTTGGTTTATCCTGTGGAGATTAGGACGGGTGACAGTAACTCAATATTATCAGTTGTTGTCTTTTCCATACAAAATAACAATTCCAATCATGCAGTAAACACATTTCAATGTGAATCTTGTTCATTGTGTCTTATCAGATCTAGTGCCGACTGACACAATCATAAACAACCTTTAATCTGTGGTAATGAAGGCTGATTAGTACTCAGTGATCAGAGTTGTTACTACACAAACCTACACTCACCAGCAATACGAGGCCTGATAAGAACATTTAAATAAAAAGGATCTTTGTGTTGTAATCTCGTAGAGAAGATCAACTCAGATCGGTTAACTAACTCAAAGTAGCCACAGTGGTCTTACGTGGACATTGGACTGTTGTGAACGCCATGCTAGTGTCAAAATCAAGTTTTAAACACTTTACTATTTCAGTTGATATGGTTTGTTAGATGAAAAAAGGCAAAATGTTTGGAAACCACTGGTTTAATCTTTGTGTTGCATTATAGAAGTTCATCATTGTGCTTGTATTTTTATAGAAACGTAACCAGTAGATGCTGTCAAATAAATCTGATGGAGTAAAAAGTGCAATATTTACCTTTCGAAATGTAGAATAAAACAGCATAAAATAGAAATACTCAAGTACAAGAACCTCGAAAAAAAAACTGTATTATGCACCACTGAAAGTTGCACATAATGGAAATACTGAATGTACCAGTACATGATAGTTGTACATTGCACGTGTTTGCATGCGTAAAGATTTGGTGGAAGAGCCCAGAAGCAAAGCGAGCTGAAGACCCCTACTCGCCTCCTCTGGGCCCCTGACTCGTGTATTAACACGGTTCTGTACCTCACCTTGAGAGGCGATGATCACTTTGGCCCCGCAGCAGGAGAAACAGTGCAGCAGAGACTTGGATCTGATGTTAAAGTTGAGCAGAGCAGCCGGACAACCCAGCTTGGCCAAACCGAGCCAAGTCCACACGAAACTGGGCTCGTTGGCCAGAAACAAGGCGACCGCGTCCCCCTCCTTCAGCCGGGCTTCAGCCTGCAGAGCCCTGGCCACCTTGTTGCTCTGTTTATCCATCTCTCCATAAGTATATTCTCGTCCTTCGAAGTGCAGAAAGATCTTACTTGGATGCCTCTTCACTGCATCCAAGAAGCAGTCCAAGACGCTGTAAAAAGGTTTGCATGTCTTGTATTTGACGAGCCTGAAGCCGAGCTTTACGCTCGCCAGGATGTACGTGAAGTCCTCGCCTAAGTGAGGGAAACATGTCCTGAGGAATGAGCAGGACAGAATAGCCAGTCCGGCTAGGACGGTGAACCAGATGTACATGTTTGCAGCGCTCACTTCGGATCTGGCATCCGTCCCTGAGGAGGCGAGTGTTATGCGGCTCAGCGAAATTTGTGACAAAGTTCACCCACCCAGTCCGGGGCGGTGCTGCACTGTGGCCCGCTGACCCCTCCTTCATTCCGGAATGTTTTTTCTGGGTGACAGACCGAGTGTTTCCTCATCCACTCTGAACGGATTTTACACTCGTTTCTACCCATATTTATCTATATCTCTTCTATCGTTACCCTCGTGTTGCATTCGCATAGTTCCCCTGTTATGTGGCACAACCGGATTCCATTAAGCAGTGAGATAAGTGGTTATATTAGCTGACGGACATTAAGTAAAAATCTCTGCATTGGGTTAAAACAGTGAAGTGCAGTTTACTTCCTGCTAATTACTTTTTACAGGATATAAAGTGCCAGCAGCAGAAAGGAGACTGAATTGTGATGATTCTACGGTACAATATATAATGGCAACCCGAATAATAAATACGCAATCTGAGCAGGCGGTAGGCGTGCACTCCTTACACTGAGCTGTTTGTCTGCTGATTTATAAGGAGGGGCATAGCTACATTTCACACACTCTCTCTCACACACACACACACACACACACACGCGCCATAGGTCATAAATATCAAGTGGGGAGGGTGGCCCCTTTCTTTTTGTTAGCTGTCCCATGTATGGAGCAAGGCTGCAACTACGGATTATTTGCATCACTGTAGGCTGTTTCCCCCCCCCCAATAAATCAATTGAATGTGTCAGAATATTGCAGAAAATGCCAATTACCAGAATTTAGCTTGATGTCTTCAAATTGCTAATTCCAAGAGTATCAAATGTAAATCTATCTGAACCAGAGTGAAGTGGTAAATACCAAGCTGTAGGTTGATGGACAGAGAAACAAATTTACACCACAAAAATAACTTCAGGCTTGACTTGATTTGGACTCGACTGGTGTGAGACGTGATAAGTTAAGACTTAACATGACTTGAGAATTCAAAGAGAACAACATAAGTCTCAAGTTTTGACCCGACAAAAACCTGGAAGAATAGACACACACACGAATCAAACTTTTAATTAGGTCCGCTTCTTGGTCTCAGCTATATGAAAACACCAATAACATAGATTTAAAATCAAAATGTTGAAATACCACTTAGATGGTCGGCATTCAAAGACTTGATCATTTATTGATCACTTGCCCTCAAAGACTTGTGACCAGGGGATCAGGGATTCTCAAACTTGTTGGGGCCAGCCAGGGACCCCTCACATATGCTTACTACCATGTACACTCTTGGATGTCAATGGAAACATTTACACTTTTTATCCTAAATGCTTAAAACCTGTGTCATACTGATAAACAGAAACTCATTTTAAATTGAATTATGTTAATACCACTTGTATACTTTTAAACAGAGGTTGTTTTTTCCCCAAGTAATTGATCTTAAAAGTTTTCAGAAAATGAACAGGAGCAAGACTGGCTTAGTCCTAATAAATCCAGACATTTAACTAGTGGTTTACAGCCGACTTTCAGTATTTGCTTCAACTTAAAAATGACGAACAGTACAAAGTTGTTTGATGCTATAATAATGCTCTCAATATTGTATAGAGAACCTTTAAAGTAAAATACATGATAATGATGGATGGTTCATTTATCATTAGGTTGCACATGTTCAATAACATTTGAGTGAGATTAACAGTCTTGTTGATGATCCTGTTAACATCAGTGACCTGTTCTCCTTAAGCCCGAACTGCCCAAACTCATTCCCTATGTGTGTCTTTGCCTGTCGAGGTGTCCTCTATGCTGCTGATCCCTGGTCAGCTCCAAGGGCAGCGCAGCCTGGGTCACCCTGCACCCGACCAGAGGGTGAAAGTTGAGTTTCTGTCCCTGGAGCTGGTCATATTGATCAGAAACACTTTGCTGTGCTTAAAAACCGCAGACGATTTATTCAAGATACATACAATTACACATACTGTCCACCAAAACAAAAAACACGTGAATATTTTAAGCAAAATACTTAAGTTATATTTAAATTTAACTCACATAACTTAAGAAGGAGAAGCACAGGTGTTACTTACTGTTAACAATGAATGGAGCCATGTTAGTGTGCTGGCATGCACAGTGGAAGGGCCCTGGCTATCTATTCACCTTCATGACATTGGAGGACCTAAATAACAATTTGTGCTTGTGATTGCTTCAATCATATTTTGTTTAAAACTATGAGCACAAATAAAGAGTTTAATCTCTAGAAAATAAGAGCAATTTTATTCACAACATTGATTAGAAATATCTGAATAACTAATTTTTTATCGCTCAGCCCTACAGAGAGGGACAAACCGAACAACAAACAACAACAAATCTATTGTTTAGAAGGCAGAGATTCTAGCTGCTACACTGACAATACCCTCAATAGATCAGAATGGTACGCAGTCAGAGCTTTCACTTTTCTCAACTGGAAAAACTAGCTTTCTTCCTCTGAATTCACATGTCAGTGCAACAAGCTCAAACATGTTCTCTCTAGGAGAGTTAATCATGAGATACGTATGTATGAAATTGCTGCAGAAGGACAAGTCCAAATATAAATAGATAATTAAATCACAAAACTTCAGGTGGCTGATGTGTTACAGAGCAGGCAGGATTTTTCCGTTAACACAGAGGCAACGAAAGCTACTTTAAATTTTGATCTTCCCTGATGTAATTGAGTTGAACATGCTCACCGTAAGTGGGACATAATTCTTGTCTTTTTCATCCAGGAAGTAGAGCGGGTCAGTCATTTGATTAGGGTTGAAACCCTCCTTCACCAGCTTCCCCTTCAAAAGCTTGAAGGTGCCTGTAACGTCCATGGAGCTCTGTAATCACAGTAACATGAATTGTTAGGGGGAGGAAAAATGTGATGCTTTGTAAAAAATATGAAATAAAAGAGTAAAAATACCTGAATCCTCATAAAACGTGGCCTTGCGTAGGAAGGCAGGAAGTTTTCAACATGTTTAAAAACACCTGCAGAGTCAAATCTCTGTCCTTCATTTAAAATAACGGCAGCCATTCCTGCTCTCCCCTCCTGACCTGCAAAGTTCAATCAGAAGACAATAGTTGCCTGATGTAACACGCGATTGATTGAATAAACATGTGGTGCAGAGGTATTTCAGGTCGTGGGCACAAAGTGGACATAATCGTTATTCAGTGCATTCTGGGAAATGTAGGATCCATTGATTTTGGAGCTTGACACATATGAGGGACCAAAGGCTGGGGCATGTTGAAATAAACTAGTTCAGGTTTTTCACCTCTGTGCTGCCTGCCTGTCCTTTGCCACCCCCTGATTGCCGCTACACATAACCTGCTGAGTCACAGTTCAGAAGTGGGATCCTCAGAAAGACACAACCAACAAAAGTGGATCGTGAAGAAGACGTGAAGGGAAGGATGAACCTGCTCCACGTCTTAATTCTGGTCTCGAGCCTAAAACTAATTATACATTGAGGCGCTCCCTGTCTACTCGAAAAGTCAAATATTTCGGCCAAAGTTTATGACCAGGACAACGATCGACAAAGTGCAAATACCTCTGACAAACTGGGGCAAGTGCCATGATACCTGGGTTTACAGTACGGGTTTACAGTGTGTCTGGTTAATGGTAAATGTATCCAAACTTATACGAAAACACAATTCTTATTTTGAGGTAATTATCCACGCATATTGTTTAACAGAGCTTAAACGATATGCTGCTTGCCCATGTTTAATGTTATTGTAAAGTTAATGAATTTAGAAAATAACTTAACAAGAAAGAACAAAGAGAAGAAGATGTACGGAGGATATTACCTGGCACTTCGACTCCATACACGTTGGCTTTGTTAATGCAGTCAGCCAGCGTGATGACGTCAACCACCTCGTTTGTAGCCACGTTCTCTCCTTTCCATCTATTCAAAATAATAATGGGGAAAAAAAATGTTTAAGGCTAAAGCGAGGCTTAAAAACCTGACACTAAAAGATGAACTCACCTGAAAGTGTCTCCAACTCGATCCTGAAAGTAGATGAAATTATCTTCATCAATGCACAGCAGGTCCCCAGAGTTGAAGAACAAGTCTCCTTTCTTGAGCACGTCATGCAGCCTCTTCTTCTCAGATTGCTGCAGGTCACTCACATAACCCAAGAACGGAGACCTGGCTGCTATTTTAGATACCAGAAGTCCAGTTTCTCCTGCGGAAAGGACGTACAGGACAGGTCAAAATTTCATTTTGTCCAATAGTTTGTTGCAGATACACAAGTATTTAGCTCAAGTAACGCCTCACAGCTCCGCTAACATGGCTGTAGACTCTTGACAACTCTATTCATTTGGATATGTTGTAATGTTCTTTATTCATAAACAAGAGTTGTATGTCCCAGTTTCACTACATGATAATCCAATAATTGTTTTAAGATTAGTACTCTACCAGGGGTGTATTAGGTTCAATGTTAATTTTTTTCCAAGAGTCAAATAAAAGGTCATTGAGTCCCTTAAAAACATAAAATGATTAAATGTAAACTGCACTTTTGGTCTCCATATTACCCGAATGGAAAAAAAAAGAAGAAAACTGAGGACATGATCTCTGTTTTCCTCAAGCTACCACCCAACTACTAACACACCTTTGGCAGCCTCTATGCACAAACCAGAAGAATCCCTCACAGGCAGTCCTTCGTCTACGTCAAATTTGATCACAGCGTACGGAAAAAACCTCTGCAAGATATAAGAAGAAAAGAAAAAGTAAAACATTGTTATTGATTGACGTATTTAACTTCATAATGTGGAATGACATCAGGACTTTTACCTTGTAGAGGAAGGTGTCTCGGCCAACAGCTCCGATCTTACCGCTGTAATTCAGCACACCCCAATTCCCTTCAGTCGCTCCATAAAACTCCATGATTTTAACGTTTCCAAACCTGCTTATGAAGTCCCTCCAGACATCGGCTCTGATCCCGTTGCCTATCGCAAGCCTCACTTTGTGTCTTCGATCATTGAGTTTCTGTCGGGGACAAACCAACAGCTTTATTCGTTTTATTGCTGGTGAGCATCAACGTTAGTGCTGTGACACACAGTACCTTTGGTGTGTTGCAGAGGTAACGCATAGTTTCTCCTATGTACTGTATGACAGTGACGTTATGTTTTCTGCAGTCATCCCAGAACTGAGATGTAGAAAATTTGCTACTCAAAGCCATTGTGGTACCTACAAACAGCAACAAGATGACAAATAACAATCTTCAAGTATATTTATCCATGAAAAGACCAAAACCAACAGCGATTGTGATCTACAAACAAATATCGTCTGTGAAGCCAAAGCCTTATAGCAGTTCCTCCCTCCCACCTGTTCATCTGAACAGAAAGATGTTAAACAGAAACACTATCGATCGTAAAAGTGAAACACTGGTCCAGGACAAATCAATGGCTAAGCCTTGACTTCTGGTCAAATTAGCAATCAAAGCTGCTTGTCTCAATCATTTATCTCGGACACATGCTAGTTCTCACTCACTTGCAGTTGCAGCAAATGGTGTTAAAGCTGATGCAGGTTGGGGGTCTGATTGCAGTCAGCTTGTGTCAGCTCGTTTGTTATTGTGACAAATGTAATCTTTAGTCTAAGATTAGCCATTTTTATAACCCCTTGTTGGAAATCAGTGCACCAAATGTGAATTATTCCACAGCTGAACATATATATTCTGCCTCTTTAGAATTGAATGGGCCTGCAGGGCTGAGTGCCACACACAAGGTAGGGAAGTTGGAGAGTATTGAGAGACTGACTCATTTATGGTTTTGCCCTTTTCATTGGATTTGGTGAGAAACATACAACTTATTCCTCAAAAAACCTTTTCTCACACAGTTTATCAAATAAATACCCAAAAGTGTGCTTACCTCTGTCAATAGCTGCAGTGAATGCCATGAAGCCAGAGGTGTGATAGAGAGGGAGGCTAGCATAAACCACATCGTCAGATTTCATTCCTGCTTGACCATAAATGCAAGATATGGTCAACAGTTTGGCCGGAGTGATCAACGCTGCTTTAGGTAAACCTGTTGAAAGAGCAGCCAAAGGTACATATAGCGCAGGAACCATTTATTTTACTGTTAAACCCTGAATATTTAACACCTGAAGTAGCTCACCTGTTGTCCCGGATGTGTAAATGTAGACTGATGGACTTGAATGTGACCTTAAATCTTTGGATAGAGGCTCAGAGGAGGCCTGGCTCATTTTGTCTTTGAAGCTCTCCACATCTGCAGTTTTGCATCGGTCAGCCAGGATGAAAACTGTGACCTGCTCGTCCAACAGACTGGGCAGGACCTCCTCCACAGCATCCTGCAGCTCTGGAAATGAAACCGAAGGAACATCTTCACTGCAGCTGAAATTTATTTTACTTTTTTTTAGTAAATTATGTTTTTGCTCCCCTGCGGCTGAGGCGGGGTTTTACAGCGCACCAGCGGGGATAAAGTAAGTGAAGAAGTATCAATACAACAATGTAAACATGTTCCATTAGTGTTGCATTCAACTGCATTAACTGTAGTGAAAGTACACAAGTATCGGTGAAATGTACAAAAGACAGATTGTTAATGTGGTGATGCGTATGTTGTGGTTGGTTGAGCTAGTTTTAAATAAACAGGCCCCTTCAAAGAGTCAGAAGATAAATCTGAGTTGTGAGATGATTAATCAATCATTTGTTATTTCATCTTTACTTGTTTTGTGAAATAATAATTACTGCTACTGATGCATTAACTCTTAAGCAGAAGTTTCATTCGTCAGATCATTTTAACTACTCTATTAGGTAGTAATATCCATGCATCATAGTATAATAAACCGATCGTGTTTTAGCTACTATAGTACTATTCGTTTTAAAAAGTAACTAAAAACGGAATACAGTTTTTGGACACAATTTGTTGATCATACTTTTGTCCTTTATAACATTCGCATTACAGGATTATAGCAGACTATTTGCACCATGCAGTGTGATATTGCCCACTAAATACCTGTGATGTGCAGTGTTCACCACTGAGAGCAGACACACGGACCTTACCTTCAGCTGCCACCAGAGTCTTGGCTCCGCTGCACTTGAAGCAGTGTAGCAGGGACTTGGATCTGATGTTGTAGTTGAGAAAAGCAGCGGAACATCCGATCTTACTCAAACCGAGCCACAGCCACAGGAGCATCGGGTCATTTCTGAGGAACAGCGCAACCGTGTCTCCTTTTTTAATGACTCCGCTCTGCAGCAAAACCCGTGCAGCTTTGTTACTGAGCTCATCCGCGTCCTGGTAGGTGAAAGCCTCGTCTTTAAAAAGGACGATCGGCTTGAGTGGCTGCGCCTTCACCAAGTCCAGAAACCGGTCCAGGAGGGAGTAATTAGTCTGCATGTATTTCATGACACGGTCCCTTGTTTTTAATTTGACCCACACGTACCGGGCATCCTGGAAAAAGTGCAGGTGGCGGAATAGAAAGGCGAGAAAAAGCCCAGCTACAAAAACGACCCAAAAAATCATGTTTATCTGTGGATGTATCCTTCAATCACGAGTTCGACACTACTGAGGGGAACATGGTCTGAGCAGAAATATATAGGAGCAGTGATCTTAATCAGTGTGGGAAAAGGTTAGTGTTTAGTCTAGTTATAAAAACCAATGTCTGTCCTCATCAATGATTTACACCCAAGAACAGCTAGAGACATAGACGGTATAAAGGTGCAACTAACGGTTATTTTCATTATTGATTAGCCTATAAATTGTCAGAAAATATAATTGTAGAAATAGTGCTGCATTTAGCTTAAATAACCAAAAGTACTTTCACAGGATTTGCTGAAGAAACTCCACTCTCACGACAAATGAATTATTCCCTCTCAATATGCAATAAAATAAGATTTATTAAAACAAATTAAATCAATACATAAAAAACATTTATAATCTATGTACAGCATATCTCATTAACGTGATATAAAATATTTTTAAATATAATAAACAGACAGAGTGAGGTGAACTTTGGATGGACCTAATCTAGTCCAAAGGTACAGTACAGGGTACAGGAAGCTATCAGTCACTCAGGGTAAATATCACAGTGTGGGCAGACCGTTGACCTAAAAAAACATCAAACAGAAGGGTACAAAACTTAACCAGTGTTTCAATAACACTGGTTAATGAACTAAAACCAGTGTGTCTGTTTTCAAGTTTTTATACTAAGCTAACCAGCTGCTGGCTGTAGCTTGACACTTCAATCTTCCTATTTAAGTGCAGTTCACAATATGTTAGAATGTTCCTTTAACAATGTCACTGCAAAACACAAACACACTGCAAACCACTAAGGCAAAGGTTGTACATCGTGTAAACTTCCTCCACTGTCTCAGAGGCACTATTTCTGCTGGTTGAATGTACTGTCGAAGCCGCTGTCCTGCTGCCGTTGTCTCAGCTCAGAGAACAACGGCCTGGAACCAACACCATGCTGCTTCTCACACTCAGAGCCAGGGGTGGGCTCTCTGTGTGTGCTTATCGTTGCAGGCGGAAATTTCAAGTTCTTTTTGGTAATTTCATTATAGACGGTCAGGTCAGAAAGGTTCGGTGAGAGGTCGCCAAACTCTCCTGAGTCGTTGGCCGACGCAGCAGAGACAGAAAAGGGCTTCACAGGTTCTATTTTCCTCCCCGAGTAGGAGAGGGTGGAAACATGGAAGCATGTGTCCGAGTCACTACTGCTGATACTCCAGTCAGTCTGTTTCTCACCTCTGGTAGGAGCCTCCTTGATGAGGAATGGTTTGCTCCGTCGCTCTGAGTCGGGGTGGTTGTCTGCTTTGCTGGAGTGAACTCCCAGCAAGTACTGCTCCCTGCTTTTACTCCTCACAGACACATTGGCCAAAACCACCTGGGATGGAGATGCCATCTGTTGAGAGGGTTTGTAAGAGCGGAGGTGTGAGTGAGCGGCAGTTTGGTGTTTCAGCCCTGAATCTACTGAGGCCTCCTCCTTCCCAGATGGAGAGATGTCTTGGTGACTCAAAGGTTTAGTTCTCGCTGCAGCGGTTAGTTTCTGCGCTGAATCAGCTGATTTTATTTCCCTGTCGGATCTCTGCTCTGGTCTGATGTCAGGGGGCTCAGTAAGTGTTGACGGGTTCTTACTAAAACCTGCGTTTCTACCTGGAAGGCAGTCAGCTGGGGACGCAGCCGTCAAACAACCTGTCGATACAAAACAGATTCCCACCACATTGATATTTTGAAACGAAAAAGAAAACATCTACAGTAAAGCATTTCCGCACTCACTTTGTAAACTGTAGTTCTTTCCAGATTTACTTTTTAAGGGCGTCTCTAGCACTTTAGCCATCGCTGCCAGCTTGCTTGCAGCATTCAATATTTTCTTTTCAGCCCTGCAGAAGACAGGAAGATCAATACAATTAGCCCGAGGAGCCACGACGAAGCAAGCAAACAAGTTTAGGACAATTATGGCCTCTTGCCCCGTCGTCTGTCCTCCGTCCTCCAGTAACTCCTGCAGACAGGTCAGATAATAGCGCCGCATCTTTCTGGCAGTGTCCTGCCTCTCCCTCTGCACCTCCATGCGGATGATCTCTGCTGCTCGCTCCCGACTCTCCTGGAGGTACCGCAGCATGTCTCCTGCCATGAACAACACAATTATGCTTTGTTGCTGCCATCTGACCCCGTCTGTTCCCAATATTTACAGAATATTTTAAATCCACAAAGATCTAAACACCAGTACCAACCTCTGATGTTTTCTACAGTCGTCAGGTATTGCTGCTTCATCTCCTCGAGGCCTTGCTGAACATTTTGTTTGTGATCAGATCCCCTGGAAGCAAGAACAACTCATTTTTTCATAAATGTCTGAAAATAATGTACAGTAGATCAGATGGATGTTTTCAGAGCACTGTCACCACTCATAACACTGAACATTATGTGTATTCTCAGTTTGTTTTGAAATATTTCCCCTACTATAAACAGTCCAGAAGAATAACCACATAAACATTCTGTATGTTGAAGAGACCTCAAATCTTCACTCATAACAATTCAAAATCGGTTACAGTTAAGGTTTGTATACAAATAAACTCGTGGGGCCTTCCGACACATACACGGTGTGTTTGGCCTCACAGCTGATGGAAGTAAATTCCCAGCAGGACCGACTGTTCAGAGGAAGCTTTAAATAGACAGTTTAGATGCACAGAGCAGGTGCAGACAGCTGCATTGACTCAAATAAAAACACGTCTGACATTCTTGCGGTCTAGACTGGGGGGGGATTGTGTTTTGTATTGATTCACTCAAACATTACAGCAGTGGTGGTTGCAGATACACCGGACGTAGAGCTGCACTTTTCTAGTTTGATATGGTTCCTGAATGGATCGTGATGTTGGGGCTGGACATAATGTCTAGAAGGACTTAAGAGTAAACTAAAGATAAATGATAAAAGAGAAAACACAAACCCTGAGGACTCTTTGGCTCTCGTCACCTCCTCAAGCTGCTGCAGATGTCCCTCCTTTGCCTTTCGCAAGCTGCTTTCATGCTCATCTACAATACACAGATGCATTGCCTGTTGAATAAATGGCTTCAAATGGTTTAAAGAAACACTTTAGATGCATTTAAATACCTTTCAGATGCTGCATGGCGGTTTTGTGCTGGCGAACGCTGTGCTGGAGTTGACGGCAGGCTTTCTCTAAGTGCTTCTGGAGCTCCTGGTTCTTCTTCTGCAGCTTCCCTGAAGGCAGAGTAAGTGCTTTTTATCAATTTACAATAGGTGCGAGTTGCCCAGTTTTGGAGGCCGTAGAGATCTCGGCCTTCTCTCCAATACAATGGGACTATACCGGCTTGTGGTGCTCAAAGTGCAAAAAATGTCTCTTTCCAGAAATCATGACCTTTTTCCTCAAGACAAGTGCTGAGTGCTAATAGTCCTGTTATATTTGAGAAGAGACACATTTCCACAGCTGATATCTCCAAGTCTAGGCAACTACATTGATAATAGCACTACAGGTAAAAAGTATTTTTGATTTTGGGGTGAACTGTCCCTTTACCCAACGTCTCAGCGCACTCCTTCCTGCAGCGAGCCTGCTCCTTCCTCTGGGACAAAACATCTGGAAACCGTGGAAAGTATTGTTCAGTAAACGTCTTTATAGGCACTAAAATAATGAACACTGCACTTCGTATGGATTTCCAAACACCCTGCTTAGTGAAGAGACAATAAGGGAGTGTTACATACTTTGCATTTTGTGGATTTCTCTCTCATGCTGCTCCTGTGTTTCTTCTAACACTCGGCTCAGTTTCTCCTCGTCTACCTGTGGCTCACAAATAAAACCATAGAGGAAAACGCTACTCAGCAGCTCAGTCTGTAGGCACTTGGTAGACCTTTGCATGTATACATTTTTAGGAATTTGCACTTTTCAGTGTGCGGACATCCTCTCCTTTTCCCTTGTAGCTTTGTCCTGCAACTGTGGTTACATGAGTGTACACAACTCTCCTGTATTGTTTTGATTACTTCTTGTGTTACCTTTGCCCTCTTCAGACTCAGAAAATGAGTCATTGAGTAAAGGTTGTTTAACTTTGTATAAAAGATGATAAAAACTCACCGTCTTCCACTCCTTCTTGGCTTGAGATACGGCTCTGTTGACGAGGTCTTTGCAGAATGCTTGGAGGATGTGTGTTACTGTGCCCTCTGATGTGGCTTCGCTGGTCCTCTTGGTGTATTCAGTGCCCTGCTGGTCCGTTTTGGGATCCCTGAGAAGTTGTGCCTGGACCTCTGCCAGACCAGCCTGAAGCTCTGCTCGTAACTCCTCTCTCATCTGCTTTCTCCCAGCCTGCTCCTTCTCTGCATGCCGACAGCTCCACTCCTCCTCTCGGGCCCTCAGAGTCTTTTGTAGCTTGGCTTCCATCTGCAGGAGCAGCTCCTTCTTATGGAGATCGCCATCCTCTCTGGCCTGCTGCAAAGCCTGCTCCAGCTTGTTGCGCTGCTCTTGCAACTTGCTTTGGTAAACCTGCTCATTGCGGAGCTGCAGGACAGAGATCTCCTGTTTGTCTCGGTTCCAGGCCGCTCTAGCTCCGGCCAGCTCAGCCTTTAGCAGGGCCGTTTGCCCTCTCTTCTCCTGCTCCAGCTGACTGTGGAGAGAGGCCACCTCCTCCTGGAGATCCTCCACCCTCTGCGTCCCAGAGCTCTGCTCCTCCAGCTGGTTCTTGTTCTTATCACACCGCTGCCCCTCTGCCTCCTTCAGGGCCTGGGATACCTGAAACGTTTACATTGAGGAATATACATTATCAGAAAAGAACAAAAACAGCTGACGGGAGTGACACTTTTTGAGTCACAAAGAAATATCATACCCGTTGTTCTGTGCATTTTTCTTGAAGTTCTTCCCATTTCTCCCTCTCTATTTGGAGAGAGGCGTGGTATTCTGGTAATGAAGTCAAATCCTCCATCCAGCGATTGTAGGCCCTGGTTACTGCACCTTCAACCTGAAACACCACCACTTCATTTGTCAATCTCCGATGAGGGCAAGATAACCAAAAACCTTTGGGGGACAGAGCTTGGTGTGTAGGAGAAAAGTTGTGCAACATTGAATTTTGATGGACCACTACTTGATTTGCCCATTTCAAATAATGGACGGATAAATCCTCATGTTGCTGGGAAATCAAAACTGTGTGTGAATAACACAGCGTTAGCCAGTCTAAAGGCCTTAAGGCTTGATTCCAATTGGTGCCACTCGTATAAAAAGTACAGTATAACTAGCACAAGTATCAAACTGACCTGTTTGGCCATGTCCTCCAGGTGTTTCTCATGGAGCTCTTTCTGGGCTTGTTTCCGGGCTTCTTCCACAGCTTTGCGTTTTACTTTGTCAGCCTCCAGTTGCAGCTGCTGTTTCTGGGCGCTGAGCCTGGAGTCGAGCTCCTCAACAGTAATCGTCACACTGCTGGCCTCAATCTCATCTGCCTGACAGGTTGCCTCAGCAGTCTCTTTGCGTTTCTCTCTGCTGGCCTCCTCCAGCCTCTGGACCCAGGTCTTCTCCATCTGTACAGAAGCAGTAAATTATTTCAACTCCGATGTAAAAAAAAAAAAATCACCATTACAGAGTTGAGGGAGCTGGACGGTGATTACAGCCAATCGTACCTTTTGTAGTTCCTCCTTCCAGGCAGCCTTGGCCAAGGCTACCTGAGAGCTCACCTGCTGCTGGATCTCAGCCTCCTTTTCTTTGGACCACAGAGCCGTGAGCTGCTTTACTGAGGCCTGATGCTGAGCCTCAAGCTCAGCCCTCAGCTTCTCCACAGCGGTGCCACTCTCATCTCTCATCTTTTGCTGGAAATAATAATGAAAATCATAAATCATTCTCAGTCCGCAGGTCATCTTTTGTTAGCTACAGACCACAGCAGCAGTGAGAAACTGATTTTTGATAAGAAATTGTCAAATTATTATCTTAGTGTATTTTGATCTTTTAAAATCTGTTAATTTCTCCCTTTTAATGGTTCAATGAGCATAGGAACCATGTCCAACTGCTTCTGGTATTGTAAACATGTTTTAGGATCTTATACCTCATTTACTCTGATCAAAGCCTCCTCCTTGTTAAGCATGTCCTTCTCCTTGCAGACAGATATGTAACACTCCTGCACCGCCAACATCTTATCATTGGCCTCAGACAGCTGGGCCCTGTGAAGAAGTAATGCGTGCTGTAAATGAGCTGCAAAGGTTTCAAGACAACAACTATGTTCAGCGACCGGTGCAGAGGACGTACTGTAACTGTTGGAGCTGTTGCTGTTGCTGTGCAGTCAGCTGTTCAACCTGAGCATCGTGTTCCAGCATGAGCTCCGTTCTGACCCGATCCACCACGTCATCCCTGTACTGCTGATGAATCCGCTCGGCTCTCCATGAAGAAACAGAAACATATATATATGAATACATGATAATTTAAGGCTAAGAAAAAACACGGTGTTATTTTCCTCCTCTGTGCCTAACCTCTGAGAAGCCTCCTGCTTCTCTTGGTCGAGTTCCTGGATCATCTCCCTCATCTTGGTGCAAAGGTCCAAGTTGGCAGACCTCAGCTTTTCCTCGCTCTGTTTCAGCTCCATATTCTGCTGTTCCAACACCTAGAGTTTGAATAGATCACCACCAGTGAGTCATGAAATAGTCTAAAAACAAATAATTAATTTGATGAATCTACAACCAACCTCTACTCGTTCCTGCAAGTGTTGTTTGTCTTCCTGTAGTCTCGCAAACTCTTTCTGAGACTCTCCAGTAATGTCGAGATGTTTCATCTGGCTGGTGTTTCTGACCTGTGAACAGTTACATTTATGATCACTGTTGGAATTAGACATTTAACCTCTTACCAGTTATTCATGCATTGTTTCTTTTTATGCCAACACAACTGGATAGTTTTGGTATGAAACATGCATACATGTAATATTCTAACCCTATCAGGTCCATATGTTTAATAGTGTTGTCATCAATTGCATATTTTTTCTATTTCGGTTTTATCAGCAAGAAATCCAATTGGCCAATCTACATTAAGCTGAATAATATCTATCAGAAAGTGTACACCAGTGCAGTTTTAAATGCTTTGCTCAGCAATGCAACATTTAAGCTCATCTCTGGTCGTGTAGAGGCCATTCCTCACCGAAGAGCAGAGCTTGGCGTCATCCAACTGGGTCTGCAGCTCGGTCAGTCGACCCTGACAGAGCTGGAGCTCCTCCTGCAGCTGACTGATCTTCTGCCGCTTCCCCTTCAGACTGCCCAGGCAGCGCTGCATCTCCACCCGCAGCAGCCGCAAGGCTTCATCTTTGGGCAGCTTGGAGTCCGACAGGTGAGCCAGGGCAGCGCTGACCAAACAGTAGAGGAAGTTAGATTTTGATCGATGGGAGGGGTGATAAATGAGTAGAAATATTTCCAGTTGACACAGTTTCACAGTAAATACTAACACTTATGACACAGAAAGACACTCATAGTCATTGTATTGATGACAATGACTCTGCTCTATGAATCACAATGTACCTGTGAAGCAAGCCATTTTTCCTGTTGGTTTTCTTTAATCCTAAATCCACACAGGAGTCAGACAGCTGGTTCTCCCACTGACTGCTCAGGTCTAATGCAATAACACCGTGTTTCACTGCAGATTCATACAGAGTGATCTGCTCCTTCAACTCAGCCAGATCCTCCTTTAGAATAAAAAGAAAACATGAAATGTTTAAGCACATCTTTTTTTCAGTAACAATGTTTTCAGAGTGGTTCCATTCTTGAGCAGAAACATCAGAGATCAAACCTGCAAGCCTTTGTTCATGTTTTCACTCAGTGCTTTGGCTGATTGAGCGTGTTGTAGCTTGATTTGGATCTGACTCATCTCCTGCACTGAACCTGAAGAAAATACAGCCACCAAAGAGAAGAAAACAATATCTGGAATTGAGCAAATGAAATAAAACATACATAGAAGTTGCTACTTAATGTTCTGGGATTTCTTCTCAACTTAGTTTCAGCAAGTACGTAAGATACAAGCAGGTGGTGGAAGCCCCACAGTCACTCACATGTCTGCAGCAGCTTGGCACATTGCTGTTGACTCTCCTCCAGGCGCTGAGTGAGGGTATTGACCACTCGGGCTCTCTCCAGTTGCTCTTCTTCTCTCTGGCGCTCCAGTTGCTTCACCTGCTCTCGTAGCCTCTGACCAACATCAATCTGGAAGCAACAGAACAACAACAACACAGGAATTTAGCACGTATGCAGGCGACTTAAGACTATACCTCCTGTGACAGTAACGCTGCAGACCTTTTCGTTCAGGGCCTGAGAGGTCGAGTCCAGCTGCTGCTGTAGTGTCAACAGGGCATTCTCATGCTGCTCCTTTATGACAGCAAGGTCTCGGTCATGCTGCTGCCGCGTCCTGGACAGTGTGTCGGAGCGACACAGTTCCAACATCTGCTGCTTCAAGCTGTCCACGGCAGCTTCTGCCACCCTCTGCTTCTTCAAGTTCTGCAGAGCAAACAAAGTAAAACTACTGTATAGACTAATGAAACATGAACCTCATATCAAAGCTTTCAATGAAATCGGTCGTCCGACCTGGGTATAGGGGCGAAAGACTAATCGAACACAGTTAATAACCAACATCTGTCATTCTAAACTCACGAGGAAAAACTGTGCAGGTAAACAGGCTGTCTGTGCGTTTCAGAAAACAACAGAAACAGAATCACTTTGGGTGTTTAAGAACACATTACAAAACTTTTCAGTGAGGCCTCGACATTATATCATATCAGATTATTTAATTATGTAAAGCTGACACTGCTTTTGAATAAACTGAATAAATCCTGCACGATACTTTTATTATAGATAACCTGATTTGTTGCAGACTGTCTTGTATACAAATAAGAAGATGCGAAGGAGTAAAACAGCAGTGTGTGTCCGTGCACAACTCACCTCGTGGTCTCTCTCAGTGAGGACCTGTACTTGCTGCTCCATTGCCTTCACTTTGTTTTGCATTTCAACCCCTCTCTCCTTGGCATCTTCAACCAGTTGACTCGATTCCTTCAGGCTTACTGTTAGGCCATCCTTTGCGTCTGTTGATGATAAAATATGAGATTATGTCCCCACAAGCAGCAAAAAAAAACAAGGACACACAAACACCGCCCAGTTCATCGGAGGATAGTGCGAGTCCTCTCAACAGCCACAAGGGGGCATGTACACAAGTGAGTGAAGACGTATCCCATTTTATTTCCCTTCATCAATCAATGCTATAGATTAATAAGATAACAAGCCATTTGGCTTTTAATGGCATATCAACAAAAAAGTATGAAACACAACGGTCAGACAGTGAAAAACTATTCTTTAAAAGAGAACAAGTTTTCAAGGCAGCTTAGAGTGAATTATTTATTCATTCCAAGTTCGACAGATTTGCCTAAATGTTAGCTTTTAAATGCATGTAAGAAAAGAGAATAGACTATAACATACAGCAAAATTAAAGTTCAGTATTTTGCTGAACATGGGCGATGTACTGCAACAATGTAAACAGAAAGTCCCACCACTGTGTGAAACGCACCTTTGGCAATCGCAAACTGATGCTCGATGTATCTCATATTACGCCTTGAATCTTCCAGTTTCCGCTCCAGGTCTTCAATCTGCCTCTGCTGAGCCTTGTTTAAAATCTGCAGCTGGGCAAGCTGCTCTCTATCAGCAGTTTCTGGAACAACATTTAGATTGAACAACTTAATCACTTATCCCTTATTTGAAGTGCAGAGACATTCTATTTTTCAGCAATGTGATTTGAGAGGGTGTATGTTAAAAAAATAATAGGTTAGGCATCCAGTCTTATATTGGTAAACAGGCTCAGTCAACCAAGGGCTTATTGTCTTTTCATTTAATAGATCATAAAATCCCTAAAAAGGTTGAATTAAGGCTATTTAAGCTACTCATAAATTACACGTTTCCTGTGGTCTGGCTGAATATTTCTTTATGACACAGGAATAGAATAGGTATAAACGTAAGCTAATTATTGTTATTTCCACATAGGGATTTTAAACTGAAACTTTGCTCATCTGAAATAAAACTGTCAAAGTGTGATAGTTTATTTGGGTGGTACATGGACCAACATTGCACATCTCATTTGTCAGCCCTTTCCAGCGAATAAGAGCTCATTTGTATGCTAAAGTTTCGCAGATAAAAGTTAAGTGTGTTGCTCAATGGCACTTTGACAACAAAACAATACTTTGGATTATTCACCTGGATAAATTAGTTTCGCCAGTATAGGAAATTCCTACGTTGAGATTCATTGTAACAGGGACCCTTTCCAAGTATTATTGTGAGTGACATGTCACTGTACTCCTGTGTTATTAATCCACAAACTAAATCAAGACTGTCAGACTCACGTTGTGTCGAGTCAAGGAATTCTCTTTGCAGATGGTCAAATTGAGCTTCTTGGTGAACGGCCTGCGAGTTAAACATCTTTGGCTGATGGGCAGGACGGTGAGGACTGTAGATGGCCTGGTGCTGATCCACCCCTCTGTCCAACACTCCGGACTTTAAGGTCTGGAGACAGAAACACAGTATGTTTGAAATAAAAACATTACCGTGTTCAAAAACTATAAAATCTGTACAACAAGCTCACAACTGGTGGACTTCCAGATAAGATGTTTATTTAAAATGTATTAGAATAAAAAGGCAAAGCAAATGTATTTCATACACAAGGAAGTACATTTTCAAATCACACGCGTGACATAATACAAAAACATCTGCGTTGATGAAATAGACCAAACATAAAACTCTACTCACTTGAAATTGGTTTCTGCCGTTGTTGTGATCGCCGTAGTTTTGGATGTCTCCGCGTCCTCCTTCTCCATCATACATGACAGCGTTATCAGTACCTTGAGGATACGGTTTAGACTCATACTCGTCTCTGGAGAAATCATTGGTCTCTGGACATTTGTCTGAGACTATGCTGGTGTATGAATAATCTCCCTGGGCGAACTGATGATCCTGGTTCCAGGTGTTAGGGAGAGGTCGACTTTGAGGGTGATGTCCATTGTTCTGAACAGCTCCATCCTCATAAGCGTACTCATCATGGGAGCGTTGATCATAGTCAACTTCACGGTGCTTCAGAGAGACAGACAGTAATAATGATATTTTTTTCAGAAGACAAAAATCTAAAATCAGTGAAAACAAACTAACTACCGACCTGTTCATGAGAAGTCGGCCTTGGATGATCTGACCATTGCCGAGTCCATGCGGACTGTGGGCTGAGTGGAGAGGGCAAAAAGCTGAATTATATTACAATGCAATGAGGTACGTCTAATTGTTTACAACAAACCCACAGTTCTCCAAATATGAGATTACTGGTGTCAGCAGCAATGTATGTTTCACCTGTTGCCAGTGTTTTTATTGCTGCAGGTGGAGTACACCAGCTCTGGGGAGGAGTCTATGCTGTCCTCCAGCATGTCATCGGGCAGGTCGGTGAGCAATTTGTGCAGCTGCGGAAAAAATGCACATGGAAATGAGTCACTAAGGTTGCTGCGTTACAGAGTAATAAAGTGTTGCAGATAGACAAAATAAACAGCAGAGAAAAAAAATCACTGACAGCCTGAGAGACAGAATGCGTCGGGGGGGTGGGGGGGCATTTGTTTTGCTCCACAGTTATCTTAAAACAAGTTAAACCAAAATGACGTTGTCTTGAGAGGACTATGGCTCAAAGTAGCCAATGAAAACATTTAAATCTGTTTTTAGTGATTATAATCACTTTTGTTCTTATGCGTGTCAATCATTCAAGTCATTTGTTAAACACAAACAACAATGTATTCTTCTGTCGAAACATCTTAGCAGTTAATGACACAAAAACAACAAGTCAAATCAACGTCTGCGTCAGTAGCAGACTGACCAGGCTTGCTTTACAACCAGCCATGTGTGATGGAACAAGCAGCGCATGCTGGACTTACTTCCCCCAAGGACCGATGAATATTCCTCAAATCGTCCACCGTGTCCACAACCGAAGGACCCATGTTATCCCGCTGACACATTTAACAAAGATTGGAGAGGCCCCTCTGCTTCAGCAGTGAAGCCACTGGATAACCTCCTAGTCTAATCTTACTGCAGAGAAAACGTTCGGCGTGAAACATCCAAAGCGTGCCTGGCATGTTGTTGGCCGAGGCTCCCTGCGGTATTGCTGTGTGTTTTGCTCCCAAAGAACTCCATTGTTTAGACAAAACGTATAGCAAGGTTAACTGGAGCAGAAACATTCCAATTACCGGTGGCAAACATTTTCCACTTGACCAACTTATGTATACTAAATAGGCTATAACACAGAAAGAAAATCCATTTGAGAATTAATATTCAAAGTCCATTTCTTCTGAGTATTGAAGACCACTGGTAAGACATGCAGTAACAGTTTCTTCATGCTTGCGTCAGTTAGTCAAGTATAAGTGAGGCCAAGCACAGACTCAAGGTAACCTGAATAGAGAGAAAGTAGGGAAACCACAGGGCAGAGCTAGTTTCTGTGTGACACACCTGGAAGGAGCCAATAATAGCTCAGGGTCATGGTGCAACAGATTGTAGGCGTGAGTAATAACTAGAATGCCTGTCTAGCTGTGAAGCTGGTGGTACTTGTGAAATTCAACAGAGCACACAAATGCCTCAGAAGATAAATAATAATTCCAGAAAAACAACTAATAATGACCTGACAAATGTAATTCTCAAAAGGAGCATTACTATTTTTTTTTTAAATATATCTATATGCATACTCAGAAAGCCATGGGTGATAATAATTGTGTTATTGCTTTAGTAGCGATGCCCACAGCACTGCAAAAACCACAGGTTACTGTTTTATAATCCAAGCATGTCCTTGATAGTTCAGGTCAACATTTTGGATAACTGATGTTTTGGATATGTATAATCAAAAATATCAACATGAACTCAAGCATTTACAGTATGTTACCGTTAACTAAATCACATTGACATGTGACACAAGAGGGTTCAACAACTAGACACAAACGTCTCTGTAACAAAAACGTTTTCCCAACAACTTCAGAGTGTTGTATGCGTTTAATACCTCCTGTTCTCTTGCATAGTCCTCCTGGTCGTATTCTTCTTCATCGTGCTGGGTTTGAAGAGCAGCGCTGTCGAAATCAATAGACATGATGCAGAGCCTGTTGGTGTAGGGTGCTCTGCGAAAAGAGGTGCAGAAACAAACTTCAGAGGGACATCACAAACAACCAGGAAACATATTTGTTACGTGTGGTGTTGGCGTTAAAAATATAGTATGGTCGACGTTAACATTGCTAACATTAACGTTACAAGTTAGCTCAAAGTTAAAAGCACTAATATGAACCAGTGTAAACAAACACAAAACGCCAGCTTACCTGTAGGCATGGATGAGACCGTTGTTTCTTTTGTTGGGTTACTTATTTCTTTATGTGAGAGACGTTATAAGCTATCTAACTGCTCGCCACATTAACTACTGTTTACATTGCAAAGCAACGAAGCTAGCTAGCTTAGCGGTAACTAGAGTCATGTTAGAAACGAGCCCGATAACAACTTAAAAGCCGCCTGAGCAGGCTTCGAAAAACCTCCGCGGATACATTTTATCAAATATTCGTTATCCAATAAAAAGTTAAGTACCAGTTAACGTGTAATTTGGCCGAGCACTCGCGTTAACCGTTGTGAGTAAAATTAACTTTGCAAAGCTAACAAGCTCTGGCTAGCTTCTTCTTCTTCTTTAAAGACTCGCCCACTTTGAAAACTCGCGCGCATTATCAGCGGCTAACCGCTGCGGGTCTTAATGTAAAACACACGGGCAACTCGTAATATATAACTACACTATATACATTATTTCACTACAGACGCATATACTAATCCAATATAAATTCACTGTAACAAAACATACATGGTAGAAGCTATTTTGTAAATATTTGTATTGCCGCTGCCAAACCCGGAAGTAGAAGCTATTTACGCTTCCATGGTAACAGCACGTCTAGAATTATGGGAAGTGTAGTCGTTGTGTTTTACGCGAGCCGACACGTGGGAACTGACCGAACTAATAAACTACTTATTAAAAGATTGATTAATACAACAATTGCAAAAACGTTACATGTTAAAGCAGCATAGGCAAATTTATAATCTGATATTTCTAAAAAAAAATAAAAGTGATATTAACAACAAATGGCTGTAAACAGCACAGACCGAACAGTTCCTGCATGATTTTGTTCATATGTCTTTATAAACGTGCAATCAGTATTGTTGGCCATATATATATATACACATGAAATCACAACGTGTGAAAATAATCAGAGAATCAGGGAAATAGGATGTGCATAACCTCTGTATATTCTCTAATAAGAGGGACACACAATACATAACACTGCTTTAGTTTTCTTCATAAAGCAAATGATCTAGTAGCTGTTGTTACACCGCTGTTGTCTAATAAACAACATCTAGGTCACTTTATAAGCAATACAAATCCTGAGGTTTCTTAAAAATAACTTTTTAAAATCTAATATTATGTTCCCACCTTGTGGTAAAACAGTGAGATTGAACCATTATCCTGTACTCCAAATTGGGGAAATCAACATTTAGCCTAAATCACATAATTTAATGTTGATTGCATAACATATCACAAAAAAATAAAAGCTAATCTGAAACAGAAAATTAAGATATGTATCGTATTCACAACATAACAGTCATACAACATTATGATAAATTGGTGAGTACGTGTGTAAACACCATAGACCACGCCCCCTTTCCTCCAGACACTTCCGTGTTTTTGCTGCTGTGGCCTCAACTGTTTCAGAATCAGCTCAGCTGTCACAAACTGGAACTTGGCACCTCTAAACTGAGCTGAAATCATGTTTTATAACTGACCGCAGGTCAGCGTTTCGGCATCCGGGATCTTATGACAGTCATCTGATCGCTGTCAGGATCTGCAAAAAGCTGTGAGCTCTCCTGTCCGACAGCAAGAAGTACATTCGGTTCTTACATTCATTCATTGTTTTTAAAGAAGTATAAATGGCTGAAAACCCACCCAAGTTAAAGACTGCAATTAATGCCAATGAAAGGTGAGTAGCAGTAGCTACATGCGGATTGTCAATGAGAGGAAACAAATGTGATACTCACTTCATTTTTTTATTTGCAATTTTTTTATACAGGCTGCAAAACTTGAGAAACACGTTCGAAACAAAGTATGGAGAATCTCCTCTCTTCTATGCATGTGCACCTGGAAGGGTCAATCTAATAGGTAATTTAAATTTACACTGTAGGGTGTGGTTGACTCAAACCAACTGTCAATTCTGACATATTACTCTGATGTTGCTGTATTGGCCCGAGATACAATGGAGCTACAAGAACAAGTGACAAGTGACATTATGAAAAAAAAAATTCAGACACATTTTTGCTTTTTGCTTAATACTCTATAAACTCAATAAAATGTTTGTATTAATAGTTAGATGAGTGGCTTCTGCTAATGATAACCCCTTTTTCAAATGTTTTCATATTTAACAGGAGAGCATATCGATTACTGTGGCTATTCTGTTCTTCCGATGGCCATTGAACGGGATATCCTGGCGGCTGTCTCAGTGAACAATTCAGAGACAATCACACTGGCCAACACAAATCCTCAGTACAAGTAAGGCTTGAACACCCATGATCATTGTTGAATATTAACAGTACGTTGTGCTTGTGTAGTTGATTCAGGAGCTTAAAACGCAAATGTACATTATCATCAACTGTGTGCAGGGATTTCACTGTGTCATGTTCAGAGGACATTGCTATAGACAGAGAGAATCCAAAGTGGTATTATTACTTTCTCTGTGGAGTAAAAGGTATTCAGGTAAGATCGACATATTCTTCATCCATGACAATTTGGCATGCAATATCAAACTGATACTTTCTGCAAATTAACTGAAGTAAACTTCCCGCTGTGTTTCTTTTACAGGAGAAGTTTGGTATTGCTCAGTTATCAGGGATGTCATGTGTCGTAGATGGAACCATTCCTCCGAGCTCCGGCCTCTCCAGTTCTAGTGCTTTAGTTTGCTGTGCCGGGCTCGTAACAGTGGAGGCCAATCAAAAGTCCCTCTCCAAGGTAAAATGCTTTACAGTACAAGTATATCATTTTAAAACACTGTGTATATATATATATATATTCATTCATAAAAAAGTGTGATATAGTACAAGTAAACTTCCGAGCTAACCTATAACGTGCTTCACTTTCATGCCAGTAGTCAATATAAGAGAGTATTTGTTATTTCAAATGTTCTATTTAGTCCTTTTCTCATTATTTTCTGAATCCTCCAGGTGGCACTGGCTGAGATTTGTGCCAAAAGTGAGCGCTACATTGGCACAGAGGGAGGCGGCATGGACCAGTCCATCTCATTCCTGGCTGAGAAAGGAACTGTATGTCGCTGTCCTTTCAGTACATTAGCTTAAACAAGTGGTACAAGTAGATCAGGGTCATCTGTTAATCCAAGCTATTAATACAGAAAATGAATGTCTCCAGAATAATGCAAGAAAATATGTCTGTTTGATTGGAAAGTACCTTATTTAAGTAGTGAATTAAATAATGCTTTGTTTTCAATTTTCCACGTATTCAACAGTTACCACTTGTTGTATTACTTATATTTTTTTCAATTACCCATCAGGCAAAGCTGATAGAGTTCCAGCCTCTGAAGGCCACTGATGTCAAGCTCCCAGACGGTGCCGTGTTTGTGATCTCCAACTGCTGTGTTGAGATGAACAAAGCTGCTTCTTCTCACTTCAACATCCGTGTGGTGGAGTGTCGAATCGCCACAAAGGTCAATATCTTAAGCATTCCAGTTAAAATGAATCAACTCAAACGAACTGATTAAATAATAATAAAAAAAAAATGGTTTTACCTTCATTACACTTTATGTTGCATGTACATCCTATGATGGTAGTAATGTGAAGGCATGACTTTGTTTTAAGGGATCACAAGCCAAACAGAGTTAGAAGCAGTAATCTGTAGGACCTTGTGCTTTTTAAATCCGGTCAACACAAATGTTTTGTTCATAAACACGTTGATAAATCTCCAATTAGGTTGTTCTTTTATAGCATTAAGGTTTGGTGCCGTTCTGGAGTGGAGAGAAGCACAGTACTGAAAACTACAACAGATTATTATGTAACTTTTGCACCATACGTTATTAGGCAGTTAAAACAGGAGTTATTGTCCAGCTTTTTTATTTGCCTAGTAACATTATAATCATGATATATTAAAAGATTTAGCATGTAAGTGAAGCAATGTACTCAGAAACAGGAGAGTTTGTTGTTTCTTTACTGACAATCCTGATGATAGACCTTCAGCAAATATGTGTAAATATCAATATAGTTCAAGTGAAGAGACGGGGGTAAATAATCTCACATTCCAATGTCTTGGCGGGTTTGGACTCAGATGCTGGCACAAGCACAAGGTGTGGACTCGAGCCGGGTGTTGAAGCTGGTGCAGGTTCAGACAGAGCTGGAGGCCTCTCTGGAGGAGATGCTGGCTCTGGTGGACGAGGTGTTGCATCCTGAGCCTTACAGCCGAGAAGAGATCTGCAAGAAGCTGGGCGTCACCTCTGAGCAGTTTTCCTCAGAGCTGCTGAGCGCCAACACTCAGCATGGTGAGCAACAGTACACGGAAACATCTTTGTATTTTTATATCTCTGAACTGAATCATGTCCAATCTAGCAAACAAGCAGGATGTTTGTTCTGACCAGATATTTGACCTGACAAACACCTGTCTCTTCTTCTCCTCTCTCAGTGAAGCATTTCAAGCTGCACCAGCGAGCCAAGCATGTGTACGGTGAAGCTGCGCGTGTGCTGCGGTTTAAGAGCGTGTGCGACTCTGAACCTGCCGAATCCGTACGGCTACTGGGAGACCTGATGAACCAGAGCCACGCAAGCTGCAGAGACCTGTATGACTGCAGCTGCCCTGAACTGGATCAACTGGTGAACATCTGTCTGTGAGTACAGCTCACAGCTATTACAGGATGGAATCCAATTAAATATTAGCCAATGCAGTTTTGGAGACCTAACCAATAAAAAAAGTGAATAACAACCAACTTTAGACAAATGTGCAAGTTGTGTGGCTGAAATGCATTTAGCTGCTTTTGGTATTATGCATGCTGGCTTCCAGTTCGATACTACTGATCATAAGGAGTATAACAAACTAAACTTTAGACTATACTGTTTATTTGCTGTTGGTTTCCAAGAAATCAACATATTAAATCATTGTAAGCTAACAGAAGATGATACAGTACCTAAATCAAACTCCAACTTTAAAAGTGCCACTACCAATTTACCATAAAGAGACTGCAAAAATCTGCTAACAAATTTAAATTTTTACTTTTAATTTCCTGTGTGCAGCTCTTTTATTTCCTTTGTGTATTGCATTATTGGCGAATAGTGTACACCAATAACATGCTGTACTCTGTGTTTATTAACAAATGTTAGCATGCTAACATGCTGAAATAAAATGGTGAAAATGGCAACACTGTGCCAAAGTACAGCCTCACATTGAAAAGCAAGATGGATGAAAATAAGAAACTTGTAAGTAAATGTTGTATGTGGATATCTTTGTGTGTCTGTTTAGTGCTGGTTGGTCAGTTATACATATAATGGTGTGTATTGTATAAATGTATTGTCTTTACTGAAATACTGACTTAACAGCTGTTTCTTTTATATCTTGGTGACAGGAAGTCGGGGGCAGTGGGCTCCCGGCTGACAGGAGCAGGTTGGGGCGGCTGTGCTGTTTCAATGGTTCCTGGTGAGAAGGTTGAGTCTTTCTTACAAGCAGTGAGCGAGGCCTACTACCTCCCCGATCCACGCAGAGCAGCGATGGAAAAACAAAGTTTGTTTGTGTCAAAGCCAGGCGGGGGAGCTGCAATTTTCCTCACAGAGTAAAATGTATTATCCATGTTTATACAACAATAATTCATTCAAATACACTGCTGCTGGGAAATAAGAATCAGAAGGCACTCACAAATGACAGTCAACCAAAATTGAAACCTTACTTCAATGTTTCATTTGACCTCTTTACTCTTTATAGATTATTCTGGAATATAAGGGCTGAACATTGATTACAATGATGAATTATTTCTTTCAAAGGGAATATAGGTTTTGTGTTTTAAATCAAAGGTGTATGTAATAAATGTATTTTGTGCAGCGATATCACTGGCTCAACATTGTTAAGCTCAGAAAAGAAGACAAATATAACAGTCACATGTAATTTGTGCTGCTGTATGAAATCCATTCATTATTTTTTTACATTTTATACATGAACATAATGTCATTAACAAGGGCAAGACATCCTGAATAATCAAATAAAGTCAATAGTTTACATGTGCAATTGAAGCAGTCATCATTGGAGCAGCATCACTCAGACATGTTTCTTCTGGCTGTTCAAATTTGTTGGGTTTGTGTTTTGTTAAAGCTGTGAGAGCCACGGAGCAATCAGCGCAAAGAAGTCGTGATTAAACGATCACAAACACTTGTATTTTAACACTTTGGACGTGGGCTGAGAGGTGCATAGGCTTGCAATCGAAAATCTATTAAGAAATGTTTGTGCTGGTGCTCGGGGCTACCTTTGTTTTTGCTTATGTCACTTATGTATGTGGACAGTAGTTTGTGACGGTTTATGTTTCCTCTCAAGGTACTGAAATGTTCCAATATCAATCAATCAGAAAAGGACATGCCATTAATATAACATTAAATAAAGGCACTAACTACTTAAAGATCGAATTGGATCCGTTGACACAGGAGGACAGATAATTCTTTCATTTCCACAACTCTTGCATAATGTTGTCCGAAAATATATACCGGCTGAGTTCGCACATTAACATGCTTCAGACTCAGAGGAAGACACATTGCAAAGGGCTGCTGGTCAGAATTGAACCCGGGCCGCTGCCAAGGACTCAGCCTGCATTGTGCACACGCTTGACCGGGTGAGCTAGAGGTAGATTGGTATTCCTGCAAACATTTGGTGACTTCCATACTTAAGATGGGAGATAAGGACAAAGATTAATGTAGTACATAACACAACACAAATATGCTGATTCACAGTGGGAAATAATAGTGAGAAGTCATCTGAGGTTAAAACCCTTGAATGCTATTAAAAGTTATACATATGTGTTTAGGAATTACAATCGGATATTAGTTGTTTTTTGTTTCTTCTTTCTATTTATTTAAATCAATGTATGAATTGTTCTTATACATCTTATCTTAACCAACTCCACTGTCTATAAATGCCCTCTCAGTCCCCTATTAAACATAGTGTTATATTAAGATCATTTGGTTGTTATTTACAAGTCTTTTTATTTTGTCATTTTTGATATAAAATGAAATGAATTGATGGAGACTATTTGTTATGAACCATGGATTTTGTTTCTAGAAAACACTAACCCAGTCAAATATATCTATATCAGTATCTATATCAAATATATCTATATCAGTATACACTATAATTCCTTCATAGAGCCTTGTATAATATAAATGGTATATTGAGGAGGCAGAGTACAGTTGATCTGTCCTTCAGCCACGCCATAACAGTGTGGTCCCACAACACAACAGGCATGGAGAACAAGACTCCACTCATATTTATACCTGGTCATACTTCCAAAAGCTGTAAACTAAATTGCCATTGGGCTCCTCCCTAGTATTCTCATACTAGGGAGTTGTTAAAATGAGTATTCTCATTTTAACAACTGCACAGTCTTCTCTGTTAGATGACACCATATGGTAAACCAGATAACAACGTGGCCACACATCCAAATCTCTGTCTGCAGGTGCTGCCATTCTGTTTTTGACCACAGCGTCCACCTTTCAGAATAACAAAATTACTGTTAAAAAGTACATGTTATACATACTATGCAAAATAAGATTCATTTCTAAATGTGGAACTATCTCGAACTGTAATCTTTTACTCAGTGTAACGCCTGCGTATATTATAAATAGGGGCCTCTACTTTCAGCACCAATTTAGAATATAACTCCTGCATTGTTTGCTAAAAACAGAACTAGTGTTTCTTTACTGTTTAATACACAAACAGGTGTGCAGAGGGTGAGGCTGAGCCTGCAGGAATATAAAACCACCTGATGTTCTCGTAAACCACATTAAACTGTTCCAAAGGCCACAACTGTCTATTCTTTATTGCACGATGGCTCATTCTCCAATTACTCTGCATTACAGTATGTGTGCGGAAACTGTGACAGTTAACATTTTTTTTACATTGGAGACCTAATCATATGCAACTATCAAGACATTAGGCTATATGTAATAATTTGATTGCCTATAGTCCAGTTTGCTGCATTAATGCAGCATTTATAGTACATATAAATGTGAGGATTTTAACTGCTTAACTGCACTTTTTGGGATAAAACAAACCGGGTAAAAAAACGCATGATTGGTTCACGCTTTTCCGCGTCATTGGAGCGCTGAATAAAAGTTGAGGCCAGGTTAAGTTTAACTTGCTGCAGGTCACGCCCGTCACAGTGGCAGTCAAAGGGACGGTATCATGTTACCGACTTTCCTAAAAAATGACGCTGTGAGCGTGAACGCAGCGTCTGCAAACTGACAGGTGAGACTGTTCAGACTTTTGATTGGTCGAATGATGGAGGAGGCGGGACCAACGCTCTGAATTTCAACATAATTTCGCCCCGTCCCCTCGAGGGGTGGTTTAGAGCTCACATCTTGTCACTCTTCATGCATCTGCGGAAGTCCTGCACTCTTTACAGAGTCGAGACGGATTTAATTCTCCCGGATTTTGTCCAAATTTCCGGTCAGACTGACTGATCAACGGGCGCTGTAGTGCTGTTCAAGGTAAATATCACACAAGTCCTGTCTCTTCCAATATTACAGTGGCTCTGTGACGCAGCATGCAGCAGCAACGCCCTTATTATGCAAACTTTTATTCTAGGTGTCAAGTAAAGTTACTTTATAGAAGATATTCTGGTGTGGGTGTGTTTTGTCAAGTCAATTATCTGGGATGGCCCCTTTACATTAGCTATGGGCGGTGAAGCTACTATCAAAGCCATGATCTTGTTGTCTTCACTGCATGTCAGGACACGACATGTCTAATCTAATCCCCACCCAACCTCACGTGGGTTATTTACACTACTCATTTCTCTCAAAAGCGAAACTGGTTCATTTCTACCTCCTGATAGTGAAATTGTAAATTTGGAGCAGACAAAACCGGAAGTGCAGGTTGTTGACAGAGTCCCAGACAGTATAACTGAGTTTATTGCCAACCACAATGCCTTG